TATTTTCTCCCCACTGTTCCTTCGATTGCTTACACGCCGAGGTGGCGGGATAGTTAGTGAGTTCTACTTGTAAGTGGGTTTGTAAGGAGGTAGCGGATTTTACAGCTACTGCGTCGGACCCAATTAGATGAAGTCCGAATGCGTAAACGTCGGTGAGGTAACCTTTGAGTGCACATAGAGAAACCATTCCCGGTAGAAATCCCTGAGCCTTACACTACGATGTATCCCGTTTCGTATGTGCTGATTTCAGATGTTTTATTTGTAATTTATTTTGATGTTGCAATTTGACATTTATAATTTCCGAACCGGTTCGCGAACCGGTTCAGCGCCCCGAACCGGTGCGCGAACCGGTTCGCGGATCGGATTAATTGGACCGGAACTGAACCGGAACAAAATAAATTTACCTGAACCTGAACCGTAACCGAACCCGTATTTTTTTCGGTGCGACACACTGATTTATTCATTTATTTATTTATTGAAGGAAGCACTTTGAAGTCGGGAGCTTGCCTAATATTGTTTGCATGAAAGTCCGGATCTTTGTATCAGTGTGCTTCCCACTTCGTTGTGGGAAGCACACTGATGCCAAAGTTTCAGCCTGATCCAAAGTTTCAGCCTGATCGGATACCTTAATCAAACGATATAAGTTATTTTCTAAAAATTTCAATGGGAAAATGGCGCGCCAGGGGGCCCCAGCGCGCCCCCTGGCCCAGCCGTTCGGCTGGGCCAGGGGGCGCGCTGGGGCGATACCAGTGGTGCCGCGCCGTGGCCCAAATTCGCCCTACTTAGCCGTACGCTCGTCCCATTACGCGCTGCCAGTTGCAATGGCGGGCACCTTGTTGAAGCTTTCTGTCCGTTAAAAAACTGCGATCCTTTTTTAGGGAGGCGAACCTCCGCAAAGAAAAGTTGCCTGTGTGCCAGGTCTCCGGGATGGAGCAAATAATCCAGGCATAGGAATATTAGTCGTTTGCGAAGTGTGTCTCGCAAGTGCAAGACAGCGTCGACTGTAACATACGCCTCGAGATAAATACTCTTTTTTTTTATGGTTTCGCTAGCTCTTCAAAGTCAGGACTATTCGGACAAAGATGAGGATGTAATAATGTTTAAATCGTCTTTTCGCGCACAGCTGGGCTGTTGCATACACACCTTGAACTCAGGTCACTTCTCAGAGTTACCGGCTGAGGCATGGAAGCATGCCGCGCCTGTTCTAATTCATCCGGGTGAAGTTAATGACGAGGCACGTACAGCTTGGTCGCAACACTGGGTCAAGTTCCAATAAAAAACCAAAACGGTACGTCAATAAGGCCTCCGCTTTTATTTTGAGCGGGTCCAACAAAAAAAAAAATATATATATATTACTATACGCCGCAACACCTTGCTGTGTTTGCGCGCATCTGTCGCTGCCGTCAAAGCGGTAGAATCCCCACTTTTAATTTTATTAGTGAAGAAAGGGATCTCCAATCGACTTGCATCTGCTTTGTAAAGCGTCCCCTTTTTTAAAACTTATTTTTACGTGACCGCAGAATGATAATTTTGAACACTGTTCCGGTGCACAACAAATAAAATAAATTTGCATCACTATTTGCTTTGTTAGCTGTTTAGGTACAATTAAACTTGATATATCTTGAGTCTGTGTGCCAGGAAAGGATCGTCAATATTCCTTCACTCTCTCTCTCTCTCTCTGCAAGAAAGGATTACTTAATTTTAAATTTCAGCCCTGAATGTTTAGTTATTGGCCTCTGTGACGTGCACTGTCCTCGTCCTTTTTATGCTGCTTTCAATTTACACATCTAAAATTGCCAACACACTCTTATTGGTTGACCGAGCAATGTCCGGGTTTGATGTTTTAGAGTTACTTGGAAAGTTATTATGCCTGTTGTAGGTTAACTACATCATTTTAATTATATAAAAAAAGAATTAGAGTACGGCCGTCAGTGTAAATCTCTTTTAGAATATGCAATGAGGCAAATAATCATAGCCCGTATTGAGCACTGCAGTGCTCAATACGGGCTATGATGATTTGCCTCATTGGCCCTCATGTCTTTCGCTGTACTCGCCTTCTCTTGTAAGCATCGGGGAACAAAGTTGATAGAAATTACTGTGAGAGCACAAGCGAGCCGGTGTGTATATTAACAATTTGGATGAATTGCCCGAGACTGGGGCGAAAAATCTAAAAATATTAACCGTGTATAAGAGATGCCTCTTTCTGTCCACAGTTGATGTTTCTAGTTTCTCGACCCAGTCTCCACTAATTTATCAAAATGAAAAATTGGCTAGTAAGCAAAGTGAGCTGGGTTCTCAAATTTAAATTTGTTTAATAAATCGTAACTGCATAATCGGGTTTATTTTGTCGACACCCACGGGGAACCAGTCTAGCTATTACATTAGTCTAACATCGCCAACACGCTCAAATTGGTCGACCCAGGGAGGTTCTTGTGTCTAATTTTGTGACGCCCTTAGGAAGTCATTATGCCTGTTGTGGGCGAACTACATAATTTTAATATTATATAAAAAAACTAAAATACAGCCATCAATTTCTTTTCAATTATGCGTTCAAGTCAGTCTACGCAATGGGGGCTACGATTATCTGCCTAATTTTCCCCCAAGTCTGTTGCCGCTTACCCGCTTTCTCTTGTTAACATCGGGGAACAAAATGGGCGGGTAAGCTAAGTGAGCTTGGTTCTCAAATTTAAAGTATTTTATAAAAAAAAATGGTAACTGCATATTCGGGTTTCGTTTGTAAACAGTCATGGGGAACCATCGTAGCTATTACATTAGGGAATTATCGTAGAACGCCAGTCTCGGATTGCGGGCCCCACGGGCGCCAGCTCATACCGCCCCCAAGCAACGCAAAACCCCGGCATGCTCTCGCGTGTGACCTACGAAAACTCCCTATTAATGTGACAAGCAAGCGTAGCTGCATTACTGAATCACGCGACAAGATAGAGAAACAATAATTAAACCTGTCCTCCGCACAGCTGGCGATTCATGCTTCTGGCGATCTTTCTTGAATCACCTCCCAGGAACTAAACAAAGCTTTTCGGGAGGCGGATACCTTTCTGTTTAATACGATGCTGTAACATGTGGGTACCCTTTGAATTCGTTACATCACTTTACGAAGCGCGAGGCCAGCACGACAAGCGCACCAGCCTCCCGCGTCGTCTGCTCCTCGTACTTCTAACAAGTATCGGTGCACCTCGCCAGGGGGAAGAGTGGCGCTGCGTATGCGCAGCGAAACTTCAGCCGCACAGCCCTATGAAGCGAAAACAGGCAAAAACGGGCTCAATTTTCCCATTGAAATTTTCAGAAAATAACTTATAAATTTTGATTAAGTTATCGGATCGGGCTGAAACTTTGGCATCTGGTTGTGACCTCTACCGCTCTACCTTTGGGCGGAGAATGAGCGTTCGGCGATGCCTAATTTAATTTTGCGGTGAAAAAAAAAAAAACTAATTTTTTTGTGACGCCATATATATATATATATACAGGGTGGTTCTTCTTTTTTTTTTTTTTTTTTTTTTTAGCTTAACAGATTTGCTTTAAGAAAGCCGTGAAAGTTACGCTTATGCCGCTTGTGGAGGTGACTTATACGGCCAGGGGGACATATTATAGGGGGCTTATCGTAACGATCAGTCGGCTAATTAATTAAAATTCGTTAATTAACTTTTTAATTAATAAAAATAGACATATGGTTCCAATTAGAAACTTGCTCAGCGTCATCGAGAACCACTAAGTCAGTCATTTTCATAAAGACTTTCGGCGCGTGAGAAGCAAGTTACCACTCGTGGAGCAGGTACAAGGCTGGGGCTAGATAGGAGACGGGAAAATCACTCGGGCGCCTTATCGCAACCGCTAGCTTTGTACGTGCTCCACGAGTGGTAACTTGAGTGCTCTACTACGCTTCTCACGCGCTCAAAGTCTTTCTGAAAATTACTGATTTAGTGGTTTTCGATGACGCTGAGCAAGTTTCTAATTGGAACCATATGTCTATTTTCATTAATTAAAAAGTTAATTAACAAATTTTAATTAATTAGCCGACTGATCGTTACGATAAGCCCCCTATAATATGTCCCCCTGGCCGTATAACTCACCTCCACAAGCGGCATAAGTGTAACTTTCACGGCTTTCTTAAAACAAATCTGTAAAGCTTTAAAAAAAAAAAATAACACCCTGTATATATATGTATATATTATATATACATGTATATATATACGTATATCAACAACCGCTGTTTAAGTGCAGTGCTAGAAATGAAGGCTGCAGTCTGATAGAATCTTCGGAGATTTATTAGGGGGAACGCACATATTGGACAAACAACGAATGACATGACAACTTCAAACCAACGGGTTAACAAAGATTCCAAAGAAATAATACATGTCACCAACTACTAATACATACATACACACAAAATACACATAGTAAACACGACGCACAAAAAAAAAAAAAAACGCGCTTTATTTTTTACTTAGGGTCATACACCTCACGGGTGGTGGGAGGGGAGAAGAGTGGGGGGAGGGCTGTCAGCACTTTTGAGTATGGGGGCATGCCCCCCTCCCCTCCTGGTAGCCCCTGCCGAAAACATTTGTAAATTGCGAGTTCCTTCGCCAGTTATAAACACATCATTCTTCTTCCACGAGGTGAATTGACGCATGCGGTAAACATCCGCCCACAGGCATATATCCACGCGTGCCTTCGGTTTTCCCGCGCGCGCCAGGGAGAGCGAGATAAATCGCGCAAATGAGGCCCACTTTCAGTTGTGATTTGAACGGCGTCGAACATCCGCAATTTGGGACATAATCTTTACAGATTAGAACGGGCACTCGAGTCCGAAAGGACAGACGACCGTGAATCTGCAACTTTATGAAAGTTGCACGGGGCGGAAACGATGTCGCCGTGATAAACCTCACCTTGAGCACATGCGAGGGAAGGAAGAGGGGCGGCGGACACTCTGAACGCGTCAACAAAAACGAAACAAAACAAAGCATATAAAACACGCTTGGCTTTTACTTTCGGGCGCGACATCGTGCGAGTGGACATGCAGGCGTCGTCTGGACGTTAACCCCCGTTGTTCCCCGCGAGTGCGCAGCAAAAGACCGGAGCAGTCCGGATCGACGGCAGGGATCCCTAGACACCGGAGGTGCATGGTCCGCGGTACGCGACCCTGGCCCATCATCACTCGGGACGCGGCGGAAGCTCCGAGTAGTCGAAGACCACAAACTTGCAACCGCGCTCTGCAAGGCAGGCTTATCAACGGGGCGCGTGGCGGTCGACGCCGAAAGTGAACCTTGTCTGGCTGACGGACACGTGGACAGCCGGGTCCCATGATCGATAAGGGTTCCCGTGTAGCCCTCCGGGTCCAAGGCTTTCCCCCCGCGTCCGTTTCCCGCCACGTATAAGAAGCGTTTCGCGGAGTTCCCCAAACAAACCGCCGACGTCATTCCCAACGCAGCAGCCAGCCAGCTGTTGCCATTCGTTCCCAGAGAACCCCCACCCGCTTCGAAAATTCGACCTCAAGAGCAACGTGTGAGTAGCCCGAGCGTTTTAGCGGGAACCGTTGCCTTGTGTTTGAAGAGGGCCGCCGCCAGACCACGCCAGATCGCCCATTCATTCATTCTTCAGCACCAGCGATGCGTGTGGTCACGCTGGTCACACATCTCCCCCGCCACACCGGTACCAGCCGGCGCGATCCGGCGCGTACCGCCGCACGCGTTCGGTTACCCAACGCTGGCAAACCTCCGAGGACGCGAGTAACCCTGATGACCCTCGGGTAACCCACACACACCCGATGTCACGTGGAAGCTCAAATGGAAACCACAGGATTGGACAAACGATATGACGTCTCCGTATCACTGACAAAATAGAGTACGTGGTTTGCTTTTTCAATGACGTCACATTACGACAAACAACATTACAATTATACGAAAAACGTTTAGTGACGTCACTGATGTTTTCTCGCCGACTGAGAGTCGTGACCGAGGGGGGGTTTCTAGCGTCGGGTCGTCAGATGAACGCAGCCCGCGGAGCGTCCGTCGCATCCATCAGATGCGTAGCGTGCTGAAAAGAGGCGGTGTAGTGCTAGAGCGCGCCAATGGTAGCTGCCTGCGGCCGTCGGTCGTCAAAGCACCGCCTACTTGGGCTTCTCTCTCGTTTATCCTCTCCCAAGCACTATAAAAGCAACTGATCACCGTTGGCAAGGCCCTTCCTCCATTTTTTACTCCGTGCCCGCCGTCGTTCTCCGTCGACGGCACTAGTCGCGTACGAAGCTGTGATCTTCCGTTGTTGCCCCCCCAAATCCCACCATTCCGTCCCAAATCACCCCCGAGAGCGGCGCCCGGGACGTTACCCCCCAGGTAAAGCACCCTACACTCCAGAAAACACGGCCAAAGCCGAACCCAATCGGCGTGACTCACCGGCGGCACTTATCGGAATTGGTCGTCGTCGGGTTTCAGACCCGGCGCTACGGCACTCCCCCGCACCCTCCCCGGCGAAGACGTAGTCGCGGAGTTCACAGTTGGCCAGTCGGCAGACATTTTTTGGTCGTCTTTCGGCCTACTTTGGTGTCGGCCAGCTGTTGATGCTATGGGTGAACCGCGCGGATCCGTTCCCACAGCTGACCGGCCTCCGCGCGTGCTCTTGCCTAATCTTGGGCCAACCGCTACCGAGACATCTGGGCGCTGTGCCATATTCGACGCGGTTGCTCGACTGAGGTTTCCGCGAGGATTACATGGTCGACGGACGGCAACTTTGTCTCTCCGCGCCTTATTTCTGTCGAAACCGCGGATACCGATTGCTGTTTTTCTCTCCTTTGGTCCCTCAGGGAGGTCTGACCTTCACCGCTCGGGCGAACGTCGTCCGCATTGCGAAGATCCCTGTCTGCGGGAGCGGACCACCTTGGGCAGAGAGCTGAGACCGGCTAGGCGTTAGCCAGCGTCAATCCCCGAACTGTTTGAACCTTGGTAAGCGCCAATCCCAGCCATGAAAAGCTACCCGACCTGTGACGTGGTGAACCCGATGGGCGCCATCGGCATGGTGGACTCCATCACCTCGGACCCGGTGAGTGTCGTACTGCTGTCGCTTGTTGCGCCGCGCGATCCTGGCGGGAAACGGGGAAACTAAGCGGTCGTTTCACTGTTGCAGGACAATGACCAACCCTTCTTTGTCGTCGACGTGGCCGACATAGTGTACAAGATCAAGCTCTGGAAGCTGAAGATCCCACGCGTGGAGCCGTTCTACGGTGAGTTGGCCCAAAGGCCATGCATCATTATGATCAATGGGATGTTCCCTTGTTGATTCTATAGTCTGCGGCTGTCCGGAACGTTTTTGTTTTTCCAGCTGCTTGCATGGTATTGTTGTCGTCAAATCCAGCTAGTGTCTGTGTTTCGAATAAGAGCTTGGTGGCCTGCTTCAGCAGCTGTTTAGTTTCCAAATTTGGGTGGTAGGGGCAGTTTCTGTACCAATGGTTTCGTTACCGATGCCTGCAGCGGTCAAGTGCAACAGCGACGCTGCAGTCCTGGAGCTGATGGCCGGACTCGGCCTGGGCTTCGACTGTGCCAGCAAGGCAGAGATCGATGTGGTGCGATCTCTGGGTGTGAGCCCTTCACGCATTATCTACGCCAACCCCTGCAAGACCAAGTCCTTCATCAAGCACGCTGCTGCGCAGGGTGTCGACCTCATGACCTTTGACAATGAGCAGGAACTCTACAAGGTGAGTGTGCTTTGATTTGCGTTTCGGTCACGTGGGAAGCTCCATTGTGCAATGTTTTCCACCTTTGAGCCATAGCTATGCTAGAGCCACTCTAGCATAGATGTGGTCATGCTTTTTCCCCATGCCACTCCTTGCAACCATTGGTCAGTGACTCAGTGCATTACCATGGAGATGGAGTTGGCTCAGTTTCTATAACAACCGACCCTGCCCAGGATTGCTGATTGCGCCCAAACGGGCGTCGTCTGCTAATCCTGCCTTTGGGATAGTCCTATGGAAGCCCTTTTCAGCTCACGATGATTGAAGTCGATTTCGTCCTCAAATCCCTCTACATTCAAGATTGCGTGTCTATATTCACATCACTGTGCCATGTCTCAAACATAAAATCAACATGCCTAAAATCCAACTCTTAAAATAGCCACTAGATGTTGGTAGGTTTCCTGTTGCCATGGTGATTTGAAGAAGCAAAATGGCTGGTATTGCCGGCCCAGTCATCGACCATCTTGAACGGCCAGGTTATAACGCGTTGAGGCCCCCAAGTCGCGAAGCTCGCAACATTGCTTTACCCTGTATGTAGCCTTGTCCGTGAAGCTTGTGACATTGCGTCACTTGTGACGCAATGTCACAAGTGCACTGTAGGCTCGAGATTTCTCGAGAGTTGCTGCTCTCTGGAAGCTGCTGATCGAGCGCTCGCTGAAATCGGCCGCTTGGAATGAGAAATATAGCCATGTGTTGAAAATACAAACGTGCAATTGTCATTAACAGGTATGGTTGATCATGTTTAACTTATTTCTAAATGTGAAAGGTATATTTCAATTATCATTTCACTCAGGCTCGTAGCCAGGATTTTCTTTCAGGGGGGGGGGGGGGGAAGGGAGGTCCCAGCAAAATCGAAGATTTCGCGGGGGGCTTGGACCCCATGGGCCGCCCCCCTGGCTACGTGCCTAATTTCACTATCCTTTTAACGATTGGCACATAATGGGCTACATTCGATAAATAACCATGTCACCTAGGTATCTAAGGTGACAACTGTGCCGTTTGCTCTCAAACTGAAAGGGTATGGCCGTAAGGAAAGCATGCCAATGCCTTGTCCTCGGTCTTCTGCAGGTCAAGGAGTTGTTCCCTTTGGCTCGCCTGGTGATCCGCATCCGCGTGGACGACTCTGGCTCCGTCTGCCAGCTGGGCCTGAAGTTCGGCTGCGAGGTGTCTGACGCTCAGCACCTCCTCACCATCGCAAAGTCTCTCGGCCTCTCCGTCGTGGGTGTCAGGTGAGGGTGCGGACTTGGCCTCAGCCTTTCGTTTCTCCTTTTCTTTTTTTTTTCAATTATATTATATCTATTTTTCTCCGTATGGAGCGACAACATGGCTGCTCCTGGTACTTTGGTAGGCGGAGGATGCTCCGCAAAGCTTCTTGTGCACCGATGATGAGAGCTTGTTCCGCCAGTCCCTGCTCCTAGATTGGTACATCGAGTGCGCATCAGGCTTTGCAGAGTGTTTCTCAGGCGGCACTGGCAGTACCATGGCTCGTCGTATGGTTGCTTGCGTTGGCCAGGAGGTTTTAACACCACATCCATAATAAATTATATTCTCACGCCGTCTATACTAACAGTAGCCGAACCTGCTTCTTGCAAACGTGGTGAAAGCTTTGTCAATGACTCAAACCTGCTTCAGCAGGACTGGCTATGCACGCACATATTTTTGTCAGGGGTCGGTATTTTTGACACTGTACAGGTAGCTAACAAGGATCGCTAATTCAGTCTTCGAGGAGCAGTTGAGTGAATGTTTTTCTGCTGGGTCTTGGTGACGGCGAGCAGAAAGGTTAAATTCCAGTTTGCTGGGAAGTTACTAGGCTTAATTTCATTATCTGTTGTCAGTTTCAGAGTTGCAAAAATGTCAGGGTTGCGATTGTTTCCTAGTTTTGCTGCTCTGCTCCATGTAATAGATGTTTTGGTAGCTTGAATGAATTCTCAGTTCTTCTCTGCCTCTTGTTGGTTGAAGACGTAAACACTGATATTAGTTCTCAATTGCTCCATACATTACAGAACTAGCCGACCTGGCTGGCTAACTTAAAAATTAAACTAATTAATACATTCATTTTGTGAAAACGTCAAAGGAGAAATTTGTCTTGGTCAAAAGTTACAAATGAAAAAAAGCCAAAACTTTCCCATGGCTCGTTTACTGAGCCATAGGAAACCCCTTGTCAAATCAAAAAGAAAAGCATTTCTGCGAGTCATCTTGGCATTCAATTGCTACAATGAGTGAACAAGAGCAAACTGAAAACAATTCCCTTTCATTCTTTTTGTTGTTGTTTTTGTCAAACGTCGCAATGGCCCGCAAGAATGTCTTTTTCCCCCCACTTGTGACCGAAAAGAAAAAAATTGTAATGGAGTTATGGGAAAATTAAGACTTAATCGTAACTTCGTTCTTCGTTTGATAGTTTCACAAAACAAATGCACCTCCTAGCCTTGTTTTCATGGTATATTAGTGTTGCAATGTGCGATGCTGATTTTCACTTTTTACAGCGGGTTCAATTTATTCCCTATGAAAGGTTTGGTAAGAGTAGCAGCGCATTGAAATTTCGGATCCAGACACCCCCGAAACCTCGGAGGCTGTACTGTACAAAGTTGAACTGTGCTCACTCGTGTTGCCCGCGCTGCATGCAGCTTCCACGTGGGCAGCAACAGCCGCGAGCCGATGTCCTTTGCTCGCGCCATCGAGAGTGCTCGGCTCGTCTTCGACCAGGGCCTGGCCATGGGCTTCCCCATGGAGTTGCTGGACATCGGGGGAGGCTACCCCGGCGACCGCGGCTTCCAGAAGCTCTTCGACAAGGTCAGTCGACGTCGGTCGTTCTTCGTTCGTGGACCATTTTTTTACAGCCGAGCTGTTAAGTGCTAGTTTTGCCAGGATCGTATCCACCAGGAAACAAATGTTGACACATTCTGGATAGCTAACGCCATCTATGAGCGACGGCTACAACCAGCTTGCCTGTTGTCTGGTTGGCACCATGAAGTTTTTTTTGTGGCACGAATGGTTTGGGAACTATTGTCATGTCTTGCGGCGGTTAGCGACATGTTGTATCGCTGGAAATGAAGGTGTCGCATGTCGTTGCGATGTGTATGTGACCATTGAATCGCATCTGGTGGCTTCCTTAAAGGGGCACTAATGCGGATTTTGGGATTGTCGTACGATGGAAAGTTGGGCGATTTAGTTGGACCTGGTTAGGACAAGTGAACAGCGCCAAAAAAACGAAGGACAGGAACACGTGACAGCCCGGTGTAGAAGAAAGGAACTGCAGTTGGATGAAAAGGGAACCTCAAAGGCCTTTCTTAATTTTTAAACACAAGGACTGATGCATCTGTGCATCTTCCATTGCACTAATCAAAAAAGTGGCTTCTTTTTTTTTTTTTTTTTTTTTTTTTTTTTTTTTTTTAGTGGTTGCGGCACATATTTGTGGCGGAGGACTGTTTTTTGGGGTCTGGTTTCACGTTGGCAAATGTTTCTTCAAAATAAGTCTGTCGAAAGTTGGCGCTCTATATGTTTGCCCCCATCTTCTCGATTTTCCTTTTTTCGGCGCTGTTCACTCTTAGCAACCATTTGGAATTGTCTTTTTATGGCATAACCTCACTCTAGATGCCCTAAGCATCAGAGGAAACCCAAAATTACAAATGTGCGTGGCTTTTTATCCCTACTATGAACTCTACTAAACGTTGTGACACGCCCTTTTATTTTAGATATACCTCATAAAAAGGGCATAATACAATGTTTGGTGGCGTTAAAAAAAAGAGATTTTTGTTTTGTTTTTTGGGGTGCGTAGGGGTCATAGATTGAGATAGTGCCATAAAAAGAATCTCAATGTTCAGGGTATAGACAGGCCCTGCAGCAGTTAGTGATTCACATAGTACCTATAAATCATGACATTGCATACCTTTACAATGTTACATGACTTTATTTCGTGATTGCTTTGTGTGCACTAAAAATATTACTCCTGCGAGTTTCTGAACTACCCAAACTAACTATATTTTTTGAATTTCTGGCATGCTATTTAGTACTTGCAAGACAAGATTGTAAGATAAGTATATTTCAACTAAAAGCTTGTGGGGTAATAAGGAAAAAGGTTTAATTTCAAGATACATGGTATCATTGTATGTCCAGGCTTGCATATTACTTTTCATTTTTTACACACAGCATCATATATGTTGCAAGCATGACATTTGATGCTATTTCTTTCTGTTTCATGACGTTATAACCCAAAGTTTATAGCAAAGCTGTTCTATATTGCTGTAAAGCTAAAAGATCCAGCTTTAAAGCAGCAGTCTATTGAAAGAATACAACCACGCATTTCAGACAAAGATGGCCGAACGAGTTGCCATGATTTCTAGAAAGCATGTCTGGTAGGCAACTACAGTGAAACTTTGGATGTAGCCCAGAGATGAAAATTCTGTTTATCAGTTGTCTGTGGAGTCGCACTTGTGTGCAACATATGTTGACGATGCCACATGTGCAAACATCAAGGAACCCCGTGGAACACATGGGAGGGCATTTTTCGTAGTCATTTCCTAGAGCGCACAATCCAAACATGCGGATTAATAAACCCCGCTAACCAAATAATTAAACCATGAAATCTCAACCCGAGCCTTCCAGATTACCGGAGACGGGTGTGTTAGCCCAGAATCAAAAAAGACTAAGAAAATGGCCTCGGATTTCTTAGATAATGCCGTATCTGAAAAAAAGCCCAGGCTCTGAAGCTTACACGTGCTTCTTACGAAACAAACAAGTGTGTTTGTGGAACACTCTAACCAAGAAACTTGAAACGTTAGTCCAGATGGGGAGTTCTCTTATTTTATCATTCGGTCTGTCTACCCGCATTTTAAACATTTTTATATAAAGTGAAGGATGCATACTGTCATGTTTAAAACTGGTAGGGACTGCCCTTCCTTGGGAGCTCTTCCAGAGTAGGGACCAGGCTCTCAATGCAATAAATCTAAAAACCACATCTTTTTTCTTATATAATGTGCACTCTGCTTCTTGTGCACCTGGTGCGCTTGTTTACCCTCCCAATGAGCCCACAGCTCGGCATTTAACTCCTAAAGAATATTTCGACGTTTGTGTGGCTTGGATTTTTGCCATGTGGAATGCAAGTTCGTCTGCTTCTTTTGCAGGGGTTGTGGTGACGTCAGAATGCCAAGCTCGGAATGGCTGAATTGGAAGGATAGTGGGTAAACCTCAAGGCAGCTATGTAGTATTGAAGTCTACCCACTATCCTTCCAATCGGAGCCAGTCAGAGCTCAGTGTTCTGATGTCACCGCAACCCCTCTGCGAGAAGCAGACGGAACTGTGCTCCATATATCATAAATAGCGCCTTTAGGATCCCAGACAGACTGGGGCGGCTAATTAGAGGTATGGCGTCTCATACTCGATATGCTTCGTGTAATAAGAAGGGAAAGTGTATGGACGTGCTGGTTAGGAGCCTCGAGATTATCTGTGGCGCGTTGTCCGTTACTTTATTTTTTTCTTTTCTCGGAATTTGGTTGGCGATACTTTGTGTACCTTGCGTGTAGCTCGAAAAGGGGAAAATAAAAGAAGGCTTTGTTCTGTAGCTTTTTCTGATTGACCATAGTCGCTTTTGAGTTCGTAGCTTGGCGGTGGCACGCGTCGAGAATGGACGACTCTCCGCATAATATTCCACCGCCTCCCGATATCTCCTCCTCGTCACGCACACGCAGCGAAGACAGACGTCACCTTCCTGGTATTACGAATGCGGCTCTTATCGAAGGAACAAAGGTCAAAGCCACCGAAGGGCAAACCAAAACCAGTGCCGCTCGCGCGGGTGAAAAAAAGAAAAAGAACACCCTTCTCGCCCATCTAACGTGACCTTGTTGAAAACTGATCGTTGGCCAACAGCTCTCGCGCTGGGGGGTATCGGTGGCCGAGTTGGCTCTCTGAGCGTGGAACGAAAGCTTGCGCTGCAGAACCTCCTTAGTTTGATCCCCACCAGCGATTTCCCTACCCCCCGACCCCCCGCCTAAAGGATTTAGACCCCCCCCCCCCCCTAATTTCAATTCCTGGGGAAACCCCTGATCCCCAACCGCTGCCCGTTTCGGTCTGAATTAGTTTCGTTCGTACCGGCGCGCGTTCGTGTAATCACTAAGGAGTTTTACGCGATTTTAGCGCATGCTAGCGCTAACCTTAGCGCTTGCGTTAGCGCACGAGAGCGTTTCTCCGCCTTGATGCAAAAGCCCGCGCTCGCGCTTGCGACGCCACCAAGATAGTCACAATTTTTATTACACACGCGAAAGACTGTAAATTAAAAGTTTTTTTAGTCTAGAGTAACATTTTAGATTTGTTTAAACATGAGAATGCAACGCGAACGGTCGTTTGGTCGTGTCCGCTTGCGTCGCCTCGGCAAAAGCGGTCTCCTGTACTGACCTTCGCACCTTTGCCTTTGCACCTTTGCCGTACCTTTGCCGAGAAATGTTCACGCGTCGGAAGCATCAAGTTGCCGGTGATCGTTGCCCACCTTACTCGGTTTTCCAAACCGAGTGCAATGTCGTCCCGTATTGAAAATCGCAGTCGCGAGGATGCCGCCGACGTCGCGCTCACGATGTCGCCAACGCGGTTGCGGCCATGGCCCTGGGAGCCGCCATTTTTTAACTCTGCTCGTCTTGGCTTTAGCCAACCTCTCAGCTCTTGCGCAAAGACTCTTTGCGTATGCGCGGAATTTTCGGAAATAGCGTGGCGCAAAACGTGGTTAGCGTTCGGCGCATGCGCAGTGGCGACGATGCTATTCTGAAACTCCCTACTTCTGCGTACTCCAGGTTAGCGATCGTTCGCGTGTGCGGTGTTGTGGCCACGTGCTCTCTAAAATAAGAAGCATCCGTGCCCCGCGTGATATGCCGTGCCGTTCTTGGCTTGCGAAACGGAGCAGAGCAAAGCACAAGCGCCCAGATAAAAGTTATCGATATCGCTTTTATTTTTTTTTTCATTGCTTTTGTATCTTGCGATCTCTTCTGTGGACGTTCAAGGGCGCGAGCGAAACTGACGCTGACTTACAGTAACTTGGGGGTAAGGGGGAGAGGATGAGGGAGGGGGTACTGGGTGATAGGCATTCCAGATATGAAGAAGATATATGTAGCTATGCAGTGTCCACCAGGGGCGAATCCAGAACTCCGTTTTTTTTTTGGGGGGGGGGGGGAGGGGAGGGAGGGAGAGAGGGGAGGGGCATACCTCGGCAAACCTCACTCATGAGGGCCCTCGCTCACCCTCATCTTCACAGGTGAGGTGAGGGTGAGTGAGTTTCTGAGCCAGGAAAATTCATGAGTGTGAGGGTGAGTGAGGGCCGTGAGGGTTGTGAGGGCGGTAAGGGGTATGAGGGCCATGAGTACGTGAATGGCGTGAGGGCCATGAGCGCGTGAGGGCCGTGAGGGCGGTGAGTGCGTGAGGCCCCCTTGAGATCGAGTATCTTTCTCAGCAATTTGTTCTCTAGCTTTCCCTAGATCGACACGAATTGCTGAGATCGGGTCCGGCTCGAAATAAGCAAGCAACTCGGAGCAATTCGAATATGTTTGAAGCGGCTTCATCCAATCAGGGACGCAAAATTTTCACGTGATACCTCGTGCCGGTGATGATGACACCGAAAGACTTGATTCTGGTTTGAAATCGATCGTTTTTTTTTTATAATAAACTGTTTCAGAAAGGTGCATTAGTATTCTTAACGAGATTTAAATGCATAAAAACATGTTTATAACGCGTAATTGTGTCTAAATAGTGCAAGAAAAATAAAATTTTATGATGACGATGGCAAATTGCAGCAATTGGTTGCTGCGTGTGATCGCGGGCGGCCCGTGTTGCTGGTGTTGTGACGTGCGGTGGTGAGTGGCGTGAGGGCCGTGAGGGCGGTGAGTTTCGTGAAGGCCATGAGTGAGTGAGGGCGGTGAGGGGCGTGAGGTTCAGTGAGGGTGAGTGAAGGGCTGAAGGTGAGTGTGACTGTGAGGGTGAGTGTGAGTGTGACTGTGAGGGTGAGTGAGGGGCTGAAGGTGAGTGTAGCTGTGAGGGTGAGGGACTTAGGTGAGTCTGGCTGTGAGGGTGAGGGTGAGTGAGGGCGACCTAAAATGCCGACCTCTGGGGAGGGGAGGGGGAGGAATTTTTAAGGATACTATTCTCCCATTCTTTCTTGTGCAAGGGGGGGTCCACCCATGTCAAAATGCCCTCCAAGAAGAGGGGGGGGCGGCCACCCCCCTCCCCCCCCCCCCCCCCCCCCAAGGGCGGATGCAGGACCCCCCCCTCCCCCCCAGGGGCGGATGCAGGAATTTCCTGAGGGGGAGTCAGGTGTTGGTCAGCGTACCATATGTTCAGGAACCCCCCTCCTCCTCTCCCTCGTTTCACGCCCTAAATTTTACACATGCAGAAACCAAGAGAGGGGTCAGGTCATCCGGACCCCCCCCCCCCCCCCCCCCTTTTGGATCCGCCACTGTCCACAAAAAGTGGGGGGGTTCAAGGCAGACACTGAATGATAAGCTGACCTTGAATGATAAAATAATTGAGTGGGAGCTACCTTCCACTCGTTCATGTTATCATAATGAGACGGTATTACCGCAAAGACCTGAATCACCGATGGCAATCAATTTTATAAAATTTCAATGCAAACCATAAAAAAAGCTTTTTTTTTTTTTTTTTTTTTTTTTTTTTTTTTTTTTTTCCAACATAATTTAGGATATTGCAATGCAGTGAAAAACAAGGGCCCAGCACAAGTCTAGGTTTGTAGAGGCAGCACCTTTGGTTCCCTCCTTTCCCCACAAAGAAAAGTGGCCATATTTCTAATCAAGTTTGTGTACCGGAATATTCCGGGAAATAGCCCACCTAAAATTGAGAAAAACTTGGGTGAAAATAAGGAGTAAGTTAACTTTCGATATGCAATCAAGAAAAGTTGAAAACTATTTTTAGATCATGTGTCCTTGTCAGACTTGCTATCACGGTGGGGGGCAATAAAGCAAAGGTGACTCTACTTCCCAGTCGGCAATGTTCGCTTATATTTCGCCATAGCTTTCTAGACTAGAGAAAGCTTGCAAGGCAAATCAGAGTGCGTAAAGTGGCAATCTTATTCTGTGTCAAAATATAAAAACTGACATTTTTTATGGGAAGTTGACAACCAAACCGTTTCGCCTGTGTCCTGTTAGGCAGAAGTTTTGAGCTCGAGCCGTGCTCATCTGGTGGGAGAACACCATACTCCATTTCACTCAATGCATGTAGGAGTGTAACCAAGGCTGCCTGCACACTCTTGGCTTGGATGGGTCCTATCATGTGCATAGCAGAAATCTATTCCATAACCTGCAGTAAAGCCTGGGCTGTACTAGGGGGGTATTCACGGGATGCCATTTTGTTGGGCGTTTGCAGCGCATGCTCGTAACAGTGCCAGAGCACCACTTTTTCTGGTGTTTCAAAGGAAGCAAACACCGCGCGTGCAAGTGCTTGCCCATTTTGACCAGAGCTCAGGATGAGCAAGCACGTGGGTACACCTATAGCTTTGGCTTCACTGCCCGCAAGGAATGCACAAGGATGCACATTCAGCGTCCATTTCACACAATCGGAATCTCTGTTCTTGGTAAACGATGTACGGGAGCTGGTCCTGAGCATGCTTCGTAAACGACGTCCAACAATATGGCGTCCCGCAAACACCCGCTATTACCCGTGCAGGATAAACCTCCGCATCCCATACCCTCCGTTAGGACTGTAGAATTAAAATTTGAGTTGCTGATGCCTCATCTTGAAGCCAAGAAAAAGAGTGCAAAACACAAGGCTTTATGCGATAGACATGTTGAGTTCTCACTGTAGCATTCAAAGCCTCCAGCTTTAGCACTGTCACTTTTCCGAAACAAAGCTTGGGAGTTTCGGTGTTTCGAACATACCCAGTGTCTCAAAGTACATATGAAAAGCTACAACCTCGCAATCGAGGCCTTTTCGTAATTGCTTCATAAAATTGTCCACGTTTGCAAGTACGGCCTCTGGTCGGTCATCTTGCTGCCGGTGTGTTTCAGTCGTCAAGTAGCCGAGTCACTTTCAATGTGCAAATAATTCTCGACTGGTGTACCAACGAAGCATTTTCTGCCCACAGTGGCCGAACTACGTCGGTGAAAGGTCAAAAGTTCAGGCGAAGCTCCTCCAACCTCTTTCCACTTGAACAGAGCAAATGCTGGAGATGAGGTCGCCTCCTCTTCAGCATTCGCTCCGCTGAAGCTTGCATCTACGTCGACGCATCTGCGGTCTGTATCTCGTAACGAGTGCAACGCTAGCATGCAGCAACACCTCAATGCCACACTTCTGGCATACTTTAGTAGAGCTTTGGTGCTTGTGGGATCCACAAATGATGACGTTGTGCAGAAGCCTTGTCTTCTGTGTGGTATCGGTTAGACCCCCCACCCCTCAATCACATCAGCAGACGAGACTGTGCCTTGCGAGACATCAAACTCTCGGCCTTTCTTTGTTCCCGCCAGATCGCCCAGACCATCAACGGCAGCTTGGCCCTGCACTTCCCGGAGGAGACCGGTGTGCGGGTCATCTCCGAGCCGGGCCGCTTCTTTGTGGCCTCGGCCTTCACGCTGTACACGACTGTGATCGCCAAGCGGGAGGTGCTGCTGCCGGGCAGCGCCCTGCCCCGAGCCATGTACTATCTGAACGACGGCGTGTACGGGTCCTTCAACTGCACGGTGTTCGACCACGCGGAGCCCGTGCCCTTCGCCCTGCGTGGAGGAGGGCCCTTGCGGCCCTGCTCCCTCTGGGGCCCCACCTGCGACTCCATGGACCAGATCCTGGAGGAGGCCCTCCTGCCAGACCTCGGGGTCGGGGACTGGGTGGTCTTCGAGAACATGGGGGCCTACACCCTCTGCGCCTCGTCCAACTTCAACGGCTTCCAGGTGCCCGAGGTCAAGTACGCCCTCACCTACGCCTCCATGTGAGTGCCCCCTGACGGTGCTTCCCTATGTCTGCTACTGCCCGTCGGACATAAAGTATTGCGTCGCAACCCCCAAACTTAACGCAATGCCACAAACTTTTTAATTTGTGTGCACAATCTGCAACGCATAAAATTGATGCAGAAATTTTATTTGAGAGTTGACAGGTAGAAATTGAGGAAGAGGAGGGGGTAAGAGCATGCAGGGACATCGGAACGCCGAGCTCTGGTTAGGATGCTTAGTGGGCAGATGCCAAGCTAGCTGCTTTTGTCTGTACTCGCCGCTTAAGTGCGTTTGAAGGCCAAACTACTACATCCGGTGTTCGGTGTTCGCTTTCAAACAGCAAGTAGAGGCAAAGGCAGCTAGCTTGGCGTCTGCCCACTAAGCATCCTAACCAGAGCTTGGGTGTTCCGACGTCCCCACTTACTCGCATCTCCTCTTTTCTAGCACTTTCTATCCGTATAGTCTGAGCGAACCGGCTAGGATTGGAAACCATTGCAAAAACAAAATGCACACCAGGAGGAATGACCAAAGTGACCTCGTTTGGTAGAGCAGTTTCTTAAAACAAGGGCAGAGTCACACCTCTCGGATCTGGCTCAATGTTCAGGTGCGACCTGTACTTTGTTTTTATTGACACCACCGCAGGGAAACCAAGTTTGCATTATTAACAAATTTCCTACAGGTTTTGCCCCCCCCCCCCCCCCCCTCCCCCCCCCCCCCCCCTCCCCGCTGAGGCAAGCAGTTTGTCCAGCTTGTTTGCCGTACAGCTCGGTGTTTGCCCACATAACTTTCCATGCTTGCAGGTTTTGTTTTTTTAATTATTATTTAATATTAATAAGGCAGTTATAGATGTTCTGAATAGACAAGCCGCTTTATTTGTGTGTTTGTTGATACCAAAATGTTACCGTGCAAGGATCGGAATAGTTCTCCCGGAACACTTTCCGATCTGCATGTGCGTGCTTGATACTATAGGCGAAATTAGTCAGTGCGCAGGTGAGCTGGTGGAAGTTTACTATGATGATTCCAAGACTGGAGCAGGAGGGAAAATGTTTTACAGCGGAAGAGAAAGTAATGGGGACAGACGCCTCTTACAGATATTGTTTGTCTCCGTTACTGTATCTTCCACTGTAAAAACATTTTTCCTCTTTGTGCCCCAGTCTTGCATTAAAATCATCATGGCAGCTTGAAATAGCTCTGCCAATATCACGAGTAATAACATCTCGTTGATGGTGCATTGATTTGATCTCGTAGATACTGCAACACTTTCAGTCTACTTTTACGGAGATGTTCCAGGGCGCCAATGCACTCGTAGCCAGAGTTGTATGGTACTTGTTAGTCATAATCCAATACTTCCACTGTTGTTATCATATAAATATATTTATCAGGGAGTAATTGCGAGGGGGATTTGATTACTTGCGGAAGTACTAAAATCGCTCGTCGGTGGGATGGAAAAATTCTCATTGGTCGATAAGGTCACAACGTCGCAGCCCCATGATTTCGCGCGGGAATTTCGAACAACCTGCAACGCTCGCGTGAAAGGCGACGTTACAGGTGGAATGAAAGCCACTAAAACATGACATGTAATGCGAGTTAAAGGTCTCTGCATATCTCAAATTGAAAATAATTTAGGCAGACGCGAACCCACAGTTCTTCGGTTGCGAGCCAGACATGCTACCGACTGGGCCACATAGACACGCTTGCACAGCATGTGAACAAGCGGGGGTTTATAAAGTCCTGCAAATTTTCCCCAATGGCACCCTTTGTAAAAGTTTCCGAACAAGAAATCTTTGAACAAAGGCTTTGACAAGAGGATTGTTGACCAAAACTGGTGGTTTTGGAAGATAAGTAGTTTATAGTTTGACGACTCTAATAGGAACAATGGATAGTAGAAAAAACCAGTTTTCAAACCGGCAGAAAATTCTGAAGTAATCGGGGAAAGTAACGGTTCCTTTTTCAAGTAACGGCCAATACCTTTTCTTCTCAAGTAATCGAGCAATCTAATTAAATAATATTTTAACCGAGTAATGTTTACTTTTTTCGAGTGACGTGTACCAGTCTGCTTGTGGTGCAGTCGATCACGCTCAAATGCAGATGTGTGAAGCAGCTCTTGCGGTTCAGGGCTAATGCTACCAACACCCGGCACCCATTTGTCTGTATCTTCCACCGCGCCCAACTAACGGCCGTCGTTCTTTGCACGCAGCGCGTACCTGCGGGAGTTCCCTTTCTGGGAGCACCTCTCGCGCCTCTTCGAAGACCAGCAGGAGGCCGGGCTGCCAGTGCTGCCCCACTCGCCACTGTTCCTTGCTCGCCAGGAAACCTGCGTCGCTCCGCAGGAGGCCTGCGCCTGAGCACGTTTACCAAGGTTTGAACGATTCGTGGGATCTGACCGTACGGCTAGCCGGGATCCCACAATGCACCACCATCACCACGAGGGAGACGCTTCGCCCAGAAGCGGCGCCTTTTTGTACGCTTCGACCAGGAAACAATAAAGCAGTGTCTCGCCAGTGCTGTCGCAGTTCGCGGCGGGCACGCGGAGGTTGACAACGGCGCCGCTGCGTGGTTCATTACGGCAAGACAACGAAGCTGTCCACAGTACGGCAGGCTAGAAGGGCGAGGCGCAGGGGTTGCTCGCTGTCCCCGCAAGAGGCCCGTTCTGGAATTCAGCGCCATCTGGTGGCTCAAATAGCAGTTTAACTTTTACCGTACTAATGGCGGCAATGAACCGGTAATCTGCAGTATTTTATCGGGCACCGTCACTTTCGCAGGTCCGACAAACGAGAATGTGAGCTTGACTGTACAGTTTTTTTTCAATCTGTCAGTGTCGATGACGAAAAAGATGCAACCAGTTGAAACGAAGCGCCAATCCACATCGACACCTTGGTAAAGTTCTATACATCAAGGGGTTCTGAAGCTGATTGTCTGCTACTAACAGATTGACGGGGCCAGAATTAGAAATGAATGCTTACGCAGCTCTTGCATCCAATTCCTGATTCACACTGCACCAACATCTCGGATGTACAGTCCCCGAACCTTCAACTTCTTCCTTCCTCAGTGAACAGGCCACCTTTAGTATAGCACATATGTAATTTTTCAGATGGGTAATAGTGATCAAAGTGGCCAGACCTACCGTTATTTTGGAAATGTTATTTTGGAAAGGATTGCACGAAAGCTGTCGGCAGTGTCGTGCTGCATCTACGATTCTGCGCTTCTTGCCGCTTTTCTATCTCGCCCGCACACTCCTGCCTGTTTTGTCAAGAGAGCATCTGCAAGCCAACTGCTAAACCGACTGGGCGGAGGAAGCTTCGTTCTCGCCGGATTGATCAGTTGACCAGTCTTTTATCGACGGACTTCACTCTCCGCGCGACGGCAATCTGCGGACACGGCCGGGCTAGAACGAAAAGGCACGTTTTTTGCGGCCTTCACACAGGGGTTGGGGAAGGTGGGGGTAGTCTCCTTCCCACCGTGGCTCTATGGAGTCTGTGTTAACTCTCCCCCTCCTACAGCGCTTCAACTCATTCCTGGGAGGCACACCGATCTCGCCGTGTTGACCTGTTAGGATTCTCCAGACTAGTTAGGTTTACGGGCCTTCGGCCACCTGCCAGCAGGGACTTGTGCGGAACGCTTCTTTGTCTTCCCAAAAAATAATTGTCCATAAACGAGCATTTGTTTATCGTAAGCCAATAGTATTTTAGTCGGCGCGCTATAGTTGTTTCGTAGAAGTACATTGACGCACGGTTTCTATCGCGGTGGTTGGAATGGTGTTCGGGCTGATCCAGGCAGTACTCTGAGGGGTGGCAATGTCACACCCGCCCGGTAGCAAAACTCCCATTGCTTTGATGCAAGGGCAAAGTCTGTAAGGAATGTTGCTGTCTAGCCTAGCCCTGGTGCAGAAAGTCTGATCTTGCAGTGCAAGATGGTTGACTGGCCCAGCAAGCCCATAGTTTCTCCCACCTTGTCAGCTTGTCGGCGTGGTGCTGCTACCCCCCCACCCCGCACTTACCGTATTTACTCGCATATTGGTCGATACGTCGTATAGGTCGACCCCCTAACTTCGGGACCCCCGAAAAAAAAAAAAAGTTGAAAAATATAATACCGGGATTCGCGTATTGGTCGACCCCCCAGTTTTGATGAGGCGATTTTTGAAAAACAGGACCTATACGCAAGTAAATACGGTAAATTGCGCTTTCCTCTAGGCTTGAATTGCAAGGCAGTTCTCACCCGCGCAGTTGTTGCATCTCTTTCCAATCCAAGATGATTAATACATCGTAACTGCTCTTGGAGGTATTGTCACAAAGGTAAGTGGAATGCATTGCAGGTCCTCCCTCCCAATTGAAAGTGCAGTGTACAGTCGCAGCCATATGCAACTGGAGCAAATTCTAACCCTACTTCTGGCATATTTTGTTTTTCCCCCAGGTGCCTATACATTCGTTTGTGCTGGTATCAAGTTGTCTTTACGGCCCATTACGTCTTTGCACATCTTCAGTTCGCATGAATGTGCCAGAGTGCTGTCAAACTCGTTTCCTTTCTGCGTGAAACTTTACGTCTTGCTCCAGTTAGATGTGATTATGGCTGTACTTAGCAATGCAGCTGTGAAGTACACAGCAGTGTTCTCTCCAACAGTAGGTTCTTCAGGCAGGTTCAGGAACTGTGAAAACCAAGGAGGCAGTGGTGGTCACTCATGCTTCCACTGATCTAGTTCTTGTGGCAATGCCTTTAGGACAGCTAGATATTGTGCAGGTCTGTCACTCTGTGCTTTAACTCCCTTTCGAAGGTTTTTTGTGCTTTTGTTTGGAATCTAGATAAGGCAAGCAAACATGCTTGCTCAGACTGCTTGTCAGTGTGCGAAAAATTTTCAAATTGCAAAGTAGAATAAAATTGCCAGCATGTAGACATGCCTTGAAAATGGGCTTCATGACATTCCTTTACATTGTAGTTGGAAAACTTTTCCGAGGTATTCCCTGCTACAATGGGCCGTAGAACAAGCAACCATACGCGTTTTTGTAAAAAGTAAATGCTGTAAACCTTTTTGCAATGAAAAAAAAAAAAAAAATCGCACAACATTTAGTACTGTTCAAATACATTACCCATGGTAACGAATACATGGAGTATGACTCCCAGTCGCGAAATTTCTTTCAAGAACCTTCCCGGGGTGGACGCTGCAAATTTTGCAAAATGTTGTGCCTGCAAATATGGTTGTTTACTGTACATTTTTGAAAGTGTCCTTACAATCAACATGATTGACCAGCATAAACATCTTGCAAAGAGACAGACCAGATGTATACCGACTAGGGCTTAGTTTCCTTTGGGGCTCGTTTTAAAAGCCCCCTCCCTTTGGCCAATTTACACCCTCACACCACTTGCAACTCATATTCCGAAGTTGGGGGTCACAATCTGTAGTGGTGACCCCCCCTTGCTGCATTATCATCTGCTCCGGACGTCTGCAACCTATTTCAGAAACCTGGCCTTGACTGGTTTTGTCTTTCGTCAACAAGGCGGATAAGGGAAGCTACCTTGATAGATGGGAATCTAAGCTGCACTTGACCATGGGAAAATAAATGTAGTTCCTGGAGCCTTTTATTATCACTACCAGCAGGCTTTGGTAGTGGAGTTCAAACATAGAAAATGTGATGTTTATAAGACCGATGACAGATTAGCAATTGGCAGCAAAGTGATAAGCTGTTTGCATTTCTGATGTAATCTGAAGTTAGGCTGCAGTGTGCAGATTTTCACAACATGTCGGTACTGCCGCAGCCTCTTGCCCAAAGTCTAGTTTTATTTTCTGCTGCAACGAAAATGAGAGGGCTTGCCGTTTTCCCCTGACAGAGTGCTGAAACGTGTCTTTCTAGGATTTTGGGTTCATTTACGTGCAGATAAAGCGAGTCTATAAATTGACGCATTATCTCTCGCTTGCTTTCCACTTTGTGGAGTCCTTGAAAAGGCGAGGTCAAAGACCCCTTTTGTTCTCCTCAAGTGTTGACGGGTGGAAGTCCAGGATAACCGATGGATAGCTAAAGGCATTCTGCCCCATGGACAGAACATCGTAACTAAGTTAGGGGTTTTGAATTCAAAATTGCTAGCTTGCCAATTTAGCAAAGCATGTATGGAGCTTGGGGGGAGGGGGGGCGTATTTTTTTATACGATAAAAGCACCTACTGTAGAATAGCGTGCATCCGCCCATTCCACACTAAGCACCCACATCCAAATTTCTAAGATCTCTGAAAATATGCACAGTACATTTATATGTAAAACTGATGACCGGGCAAGCGCCCATCCTTCATTTTTTCGCGATCATCTCTAAATTTTGAGTGGGTACTTGCTCGGTATTTTACGGTATGTTGGAGGCAATTCTCGGTCTTTGTTTTGTTCAACCGAAGTGTCCTGTACAATCTGCTTGTGAGAGACACGAAAATAAGTCCTTGGCTGAAGAAAGTGTTAGTGCAAGCTCAGCTCTTCAGAAACATAAGCTACCTCACCCGTGGCTTTGACAGTTCAACACATAACTCTCGAGACGAAGAGCACCTTCGTGGTAGTAGATAATGAAACCTCGACAATCAACTGTTTGGGGTATCGTCGCAGACCGCAGCAAAGATTATGTACTAACTGTTGTTTTAGACTTTTTTTCTTTTTTCTTTTCTGTACATAGCTTTAATTAACAAGACAAAAAAAAACAAAAAAACATAATAGTGTTTGTTTTTGTATTTCTAAATTGCATTCTTGAGCGCTCGGTTTCTGCCCAAACGTAGCGCTAGCGATCCGAACCAGATAGAAAAAATTTCTAAACGAGCCATTATAATATTAAAAAGTTGGGACCAATTTTTTGGAAATCTCCAATGCGAAAATGGTTGCCGACAAAACCCATGGAGAAAACTACCGAGAACGGGCCTCACTTTCCAGACCACTAAAGCTACATTTGGGCGAAGACCGAGCATATGGCAATGCACACTTTACTTTTGCATAAAAAAAAATGCAGTACATTTATTTCTAGGGACATGCCGTAAAAGAGAGAACATGCACGCTCGAGGAAAAATCCTTTCTTTATTTTGAGCGGAAGGCGCTTGCCAGAAGAAAGACTGGCCGAAATAAGACGCCGAGGCATTTTGTGCGTGGGTGAAGAAAAAAAAGAGGTTCCGTTTGTTCGCACCCGCGGCGACGGCCGCACCCGTTTTCCACGGCGTTCTCTTCTCTCGCCGGCCCGCGAAAAAGTCTCCGGTGCCGCTCGATCCACGCTCGTCCGCCGCGCCGCGGGTAAAAAAATACCGCTTTAAGGCCCGAGGCAGAGCCGGCAGTCTTTGGCTCTCTCTGTGCTCCGACAACGGAGCCGATATGTGTTGCTGAGACTCACAAAAATAAACTCGCAGACTCCGTCTGAGCTCGACAACGGCGCCCAGAAGGTACCTCCAACCGCGTGTCCGCTGCCGCCGTCGTCGCGGCGTCCAGACTCGTTGCCGTGAAAGCTTCCGCGAGCCGCCGGACAGGGGGCGACTTGAAGTGGTACGGGCATCTGCCTCCACGGAGTCTTTGGGCGAGGATGCGACAAACGCGCCGGTTGGAGAGGTACTTCAGATGGCGTGGCGTGACCCCGACTCAGAAGGACGTCTGCTTGTAGCCCTTCTCTGGCGGAGGACGCTCCGCCGAGGACGGCGGCCGCTCCGGTGTCTGGACCATCGGCTTGGCCTTGACCGGGGGCTTCGGACCACGCACCGGATCGCGCACCGGCTCACGGGCCGGATTGGGTGACGGCTCGCGTTCTGGGTCGCCCTCCGCCGCCCGCGTGGCCCCCTTCTTGAGCGTGCACTGGTTGGAGAGGGCGAACCGCTCGGCCGCCGTCATGTCCGCCGCCTCTGGGCTGTTGGGGCTGACTGGCAGGTCCAGGACCAGGTCCGGCGCGTCCGCCTTGTGGCTGCGCTCGATGCTGTCGATGCTGGTGTGCACCCTGGCCAGGGCGTGGTCCAGGTCCCGGGCCAGCTCCTGGTTGGACGTCTCCACGCTGATGTCGTATGCCGAGAGCTCCAGGGCCGGCGCGTCCCCCATGCTGGTGGAGGGGCGCAGCTTACGGGGGTCGGGGGGAGGGGGCCCGCCAGGGAAGCAGGGGCTGAGGCTGCGCCGGCGTGCCCCAGGGGTCCGGCCGGGGCCCCCCCGCAGGGCCGTGGGGGGGCTGCCCCCCGGAAGGGAGTCGCTGCTGCGGCGCCGGTCGCTGCCCTCGCTGCTCGTGCGGTCCTCGTCCCTGCGTCCGACCAACGTCCAGGTTGGAAGACGATCAAGAGGCTGCTAAATGCGGCATTACGATTTGCTGCACCCTTCGCACGGTCACTACGTGGCTAGTAATTAAAAACTTCGCCGTTTATTCTCTCCAAGTTAGGGAAGTTGGAGTTTGTTCGGCGGACGTGCTATTGCTCGTTATTTTGAGGACGCCTAGTCGACGGGCAGGAACGGGGGGAGACACCAAATGCAGTAGGCAAATCCAATTTTATGCGGAGCGCAAGTTCGTCTGCTTCTTTTGCAGGGGTTGTGTTGACGTCAGAACACCGAGCTTCGATTTGTTCTGAAGGAAGAATAGTGGGTAGACCTCAAGCCAGCTTGCTTCGAGGTCTACCCACTACCCTTCCATCAGAGCCAATCGGAGCTCGGCATCTTTCTGCTGTCACCGCAACTCCTGCGCAAGAAGCAGACGACTTGCCCTCCGCATAAATCTCGAGACTGGTAAGGGTCCCTCGGTTTCAGCAAGGCCAGAAAGCGGTTTGTCCGAGCATCCATGCTCCGAAGAACAACTAGGTTCCCAGGAACCCCCTCTTACACGAGCGGCACGTGAAAGACTTCTCGCAAGAGGGCAGAGCACGTCCTCACCGTATGCGCAGCAGAATGTACTTGTCCGGCACAAGGCCGTCCCTGCCCGCAAAGTGGCCCCTCCACCAGTCGGGCGAGACCTGGGCGTACAGGGTGAGGTGGTCGCCTCGCTTGAAGGACAGCTCCCGCTCGGACCGGGCCACAAAGTCGTACTGGGCCGTCGCCTCCAGCACCTCCGACCCTGCGCAAAGTTCCACCGAGGGTGCGTGCCATGAAACGCGCGTCGCTGGGTGTTGTCCCCCAGAGCCGTGTATCGGGAGAGTTTGGTCAATATTACGATTTCGGCTCCGTAACGCGTCCCCAATACAGCCTACCCAATTTTCGAGGCGAAAGCTTTATATGTCTTGTCGTTCGGTCGACCTTCAAAGTCCTTGAGCGAAAACACGTCGGCGACACGAAAAGTACAAAAACATGTCAGCGGCACGAAAGGTACCAAAACGAAAGGAACCAATGAAACGGCGCCAAAAGTGCGTCGTCGGAGAGTGCGCTGTCTTCGCAAATTCGCTATCGTGTTTACATCGGCGCTTGGGCTTTCGCCTTCAAGTAGTTTTAGGGAAAACATAAAAGATCCTGTGAATATTTTTTTTTTATAGTCATACAGTAACTTCTTACTTGAGTGAACTTCAAAGGACCCAAGGAAATAGTTCACTTAACTGAAAGTTCACTAAACTGAATATATTCGCTAGAATATGGAACAGGGCACAGCATACATTGAGTCAAAAGTGTGAAATGCGATTTATAGTCATGTACATCAATATGTACAAAGTGCATAAGAGTTACGCCGCTGCTTTCCTCATTTTAAAAAAATCTAATTTTCATTAGCACCGGTGCTCTTAAAGTGCATGAAGTAACAGGACTGTCCAGAGAGTCTATCTTTTTTTGCACTTCCTCTGGCACGGCTTGTTGCTGTGACGAAGCCGTACTGCAACGGCATTGTTCACTGGCCTGAAATATCCCGTGCAGAGTCGTTTCCTGTTGGGACTGAACGCAGTTCCACCTTCAAGGTTTGACTTTTGCTTCACTATCGTTGACAACGTCAACGGTGAAATCCTAAAGTCCTTCGTAACGTCCACTTGATCGTTGTCCAGAAGCTGAAGGATTTTACGCTTGTCTGATAGAGACAACTGCTTTCGTTTCGTCGTACTCATTACGAAGGTGAGCACACAAACTGCCGTCCTGCCGTTGTTACCCAAAACTAAGACGGCCGAACGGAACCAATGACAAAGAAAAAACACGCAGCACGTGGTTCGTTTTCATCTACCGCACCGTCGCTTTGCCTCGGCAGTGATACGCCGCCGCTGCAGAGGCAGCGGTGGTGGCGGGGCGGCGGGCATCGGCTACGCCAGCACTGCAGAGCACAAAAGTTTGCTGAACTGATTGCAAAAATAATCTTGGGTCCACCGATCAAGTTCGCTGAATATTCGCTCTTCCAAAATTTGTTAATTTGTTTAACTGAAACATTTTTGCATAGAATGCATAGGAAAACCGCTGGGGACTTTTTGGGACTTTTTTAAAGTTTGTTATTCTGAAATGCTTGTTAAGCCGACGTTTGCTCAGGTGAGAGTTTACTGTAATTTGAGTTTGATTACTTGCTGCGATCCTTATATTGTTTGCCGCGATTGGATGTCTCGGTGTTCTTGGGGAAAGTGAACTTGCAGACTTCCTCCAACATTTCCATGAAGCCAATTTCGAGAGTAGGAAAATGGCGACTCACTTCCGAAGAGCTGCAGCGAAATTTCCGGTTCGCCGATGAGGGCGTCTGCAAAGAGACGTCGGACGACACGTCACGATTTGGAGTGACCTCCCACTGCACAAACATGCACGCAATAGATTCTCTAAATAAAGCTGCACTTGGGGGCCACAATGCTTCACCCATTTTGCCGATTAAAATTACTGCTGTCGGCTCACTGAAACTGCGAGGAACGCTACTAAAACAGCCCGCGACAGAACGAGACAATGTCGGCCGAACTTCCCCACGCCATATTTAAATGTCGGGAAATCATGTTTCCGAATCGTAATAGTCACCAATTGCACCTGCTCTGTACTGGGCAAAAATGACAGTGCTCACGAGACAATCGAGACAGTGGAGTGTCGAACCTTTGAAATGGAGAATAATCAACCTTACACACTGGGCACGCTCGGTTTGGTATATGCCATGGGTGGCCAAGCTGCGGCTCGCGAGCCGCATGCGGCTCTTCGCGTGTTACAGTGCCCCCCCAAAAGAAAGAAATTGAGCTTTTTATAAATTGAAAGACAGGTTGCGGTTTGGTAGTTTTGTGTTAAACTGCTACCTTGCGTACAATTGGACTGCTTTTGACTCGGATAGATTGAAATTAGTTTGAGTTTTGTTTATTGCACAGAACAAAAGTTTGCCTCCCCCCCCCCCCCCCCCCCCCCCTTCCTGGGCTCTTTGACGTTTTGTGGTTCTGTTCGCGGCTCTTAGGCCGGGCCAGCCTGGCCACCCTTGGTCTATGCTTTGTGTCACTAGTTGTGTGCAGTGCACGCAAAGGCAACGGCAGGCAAAGCGAGAAAGGGCGGGCACTAGGAAGGCGGGACGCGAGAGGTGGCCAGCGGAGGGCGAGGGGAGAAAGGGAGAGCACTAGGAACGTCAGAGAGGAGAGGAGGTTTCTCTCCTTGTCCCCAACCTCCCTATTGCTTACCCTTTCTCCCCTCACCTGGCATTGCCTTCGCCTGCATTGCACGCAACTAGTGACACGGAGTATAAAGTTGTCTTTATGGGACAGCCAACGTCGACAAAAAAGGTTTTCTTGCTCGGCGCAACCAAAGGTTGAGGGCTCCGCGGATGTAAAGAAAGCCCCTGGGAATCCTAAGGGCCCAGATCTCCATCTGACAACCACTGATATAAGTAAGCGAACCTTACTAGTGGCCCTAGATTTGATTTCCGAGTTTGCTGAGCCAACAACAAAACTAAAATGCAATTACAAAAAGTGAAAGAAAGACTTGCCTTCCTCCGTGGGCGCTGCATCGACCTCCACAGTGCCCGCCTGCTCAACAATTTGTTCCGGCGGCGACTCCCCAACGTCGCTGTCAAAAGGAATGCAAGATGGAACCGCAGCGCATCTCGAGCGTTGAAACTACGCCGGTGAACAGAGGCACCAGAACACTTTCATTAACTCTAAACAGTTTGATGCAAAGCACCAGTCACATATGTACGCTTAATACATTACTGCACTCCTTCTGATATGCTCAATCAGCACTTCATCTGAAGCATTTTCCTTCACAAGCTCTAATGTACTGGAACTTCAAATTTAAAAAAAAATCGAGACTGACGATTTTCCCGTGCAAAGATGCCTTTACGTTAAGTTGCACTTTACTCCATCCATCTGACTATGGGTGTGACTGATTTTACGAAGCTACAGCATTTTGTAACGTGTGGTGAAGAGAAGCTTAACAAGCCACTTGTGGTGTCATAACATACACCGGGTTAGGCAGGGTTCAGCAAAAGCACGTTGGATTACGACAGGTTCAACGGGCTGAGCATTGGGTCGGGACACGTGATCTTTAATCGGCTTGGCGAGTTGAGTCGGCGAGCGAGCTCACATAAATTAGGTCCGGCTAGCTTAGGTGACTTCATCTGAACTAGATAAATCCAAGTGAGGGTGTGTTAAAGTAGGCGAGTCAGACCACATTAGGCACAGGCACATTAGCTTAAGCCAGGGCAGATAAGGGTAGAACAGTCAAGCTAGATTAACCTAGATTAAAGGACCAATGCAACAATATTTGTACTTTGCGCAAATACCGCTTAAAACGGATCCCTAACGTTAATGACCTATGAAACACGCGTTCGTTTTTAACCCCACGCAATAGAAGTTCCAGAAAAAAATTTAAGAAAAACGAGCAGCGTTCACCCCCTCAACTCGCAGCCAGAACAAGCGGCCACGTGATCTGGAGCCGATTATATGCCGCCAGTGTTGATCATAGCCACGCGCTGGGGTTGGCAAAGCGCAGGACACGCGCTGAGTTCCAGGCATTGTTATGGCTCGGCTGTTGTCGTCGTTGCAGCGATTGGACACGGGTCAAAACCCGAATGCTTCTCGAGCTAGCAATTGTCACGAGCCCAAGTCGAGTGCCCACGCAATGCTCGGGTCCAATCTATGAACCGCATTCAAATATCGTCACTTGGGTGTACTGGGACCCCCGAGTTACGTCATCAAATTTTGCAAAGGAGAGATTGAATGAAAAGGATCGCTTTTGTCCTTGAAATTACACCGCAACAAAGGAGTTTCTTGGCCAATGGCGTTGCGTGTGAGTATCCTTGAGTCCCAGGTGTGCCAGTAAGCTCGTGTATAGAGAGATACATTCCAATTGAATATCGTTGCACAGCTCCTTTAAAGAAATCCCAGAAAGAAAAAAACATGAAGGTAATCAAGGCTGTGGGAAGAATTCTTCCTGGTAGCCTCAAGATGGCAGAGGACGGTTTACTAAAATACTTTGCTCGTTCAGGACCCTAAAGAAGCTAAATCTCTTTATGTTAGCTCGCTCTAAGGCATCTAAGGCTCAACCCCAGGTTAGGGGTGGGGTGCGTCCGGTCCGGTTCGGTTCAAGTAGGTCAGGGCTCGTTAGGATAGGCAATGTCAGTCGACACCCAAGAAACCGTCTCTGAGGAAGTGCTCTCACATGTCGTCGGGCGCCTCCGCGCTGATGTACTTCTCGTAGACGAGCCCTCCGTCGTCCGGGAAGATCTCCTCCTGGTAGACGATGATGCCCTTGACCAGCTCGTTGACCAGGTTCTGGTACTGCACCTGGTCCTTGTCCTCTGGGATGGGCACCAGGGTGGGGCCGAAGCAGATGGCCAGGTTGTACGGGTCCATCATGTTTTCGTCGCTGAACTCGGACAGGCTGCACGCATGCAGGGACAAATGAAGCACTCCTGCGAGTCGTCCTACCCGCCGAGCCAAGTACGAGAAGAAACGAGAATGCGCCTACACCCGCCACAAGGCAAGGACGGCGGGGCGTGCACTTTAAACGGCCGACCTTTGGCGTGCGCTTTGTGCCTTCCACGATACTTTGGCCACACATGGGCCCTCGATGTGCATGAGACGCCGGAGCGTCGCAGGAGGTGGGAAGCTCGCACTGAACCAGGGACAACGGTGGCTCCTTCCTGTCATTCTAACTTTGTCGGCGGCTACAGTGTAGCGAAAGAGGTGCTAAAAAAGATTGAGGTACACCTAAGCATTCCTTATGAGTTGTGAATTGGCTCCCTTTTTCGTCTGCTGCATACTTTTTGTCGCCGATCGGCGCATGTGCTCCTTTGGTGACCTTGGACGCTCCGTGTTAATGGCACGCTGATGGACACGCAGCGCCATGGGGTGAGCGGTCGTGGAAACTGACGAGCACAGCGGCCAATGGGAGCCCTGTCAACGCACGCCAGCCAATGAAACCGAAGGAAACTATCTGCCATTTTCGCACTCAGACTCATCACGTCAGCTCGCTCCATGAGACAGTTAATGCTTTCGCATTAAAACTAAATTATGTTTAAAGACGGACATAAAGTCGCAAATACAAATGAATATGTGCTCGGTGAACTAAGAAGCTCGCAAAAAAAAACGCTTTGGTTCTTGCCGAACTCCTGTGTATAAAAAATCTGTCTCCATCGACTTTTAAATTAAATGGGGCTCGTACCGAAGTCCTGTCCGCTAAATATGGTGGCGATGCTTCAGTTAAAAAAAAACACTTGTCCGCTAGCACGAAAAGGATGTAAGCTCCGTCGATAATGTTGCACCTCTTTTCAACATCTGCCCTTGGCCAAAAAGCGAAAAACTTTTTTGTAAAAAAATATCTGTATCTAAGAATTGTTGAAATAGCTCAAGACAAGGATGGAACAATGACAAAGAAGCTGAACAAAGGAGGTTATTTTTTGTTTTTGCCAATAGCCCCCCTTCCAGGTCAATGCTGCTACCTTTGACCTTCGTGAAATTTCCCACCTTTAGCTTTATTGTAGCGTGAGCTACACTGGCCAAGGTTGAGCAGTTTCACGTGGCTCCCAAAGAGCCGCGCTGCGCATGCGCAAGGAGCAATGACGTCACACGGCGCACAGCTGGCGCGCCGCTGCCGCCGCGTGTGCCTCACTGGTCTGCGCATTCCAGAAGAGTGATGTCATAGCCGCGGTAGACGCACTGGCGCCGCCGCGTGCCCAGCTGTGCGCCTCTGTTGCGCAGTAGCCAAGTCTGACGCTGCACCGGAGCCGCTTGATAGCGCCTCTCATTTTGTGTGCATAAGCTCACACTAAGTATATCCTAGCATAGCCAAGCTAAACCATCGCAATTTTTTTTTACTCTGATGTGAGACAATACTAACGAGCATGCGCGCAACAAGAACTTGGAAAGTACCGTGAAACCGGCATCAATTTGGTGATCGTATGAACGCAGTCGCATAGTCACTATTGTGCGGTGCACTTTAAGATCAGTGGCCGTACCACGCGTGCTGAACACCCCTCCGCGGTAATGAACCCATGTCACCAGACTCAAAGGCCGAAATTGACCTCTTGCTGCACAAACATTTTGAACGTCAGCTTTGTTTCTGTTTTCCCGTCGTCTGCAGCATCGTCCGAGCCCGCAAACTGCCGCTTTCTCCGCAAAATCGGCGACTTCGAACAACACTATCGCCGAGGGCAACGTCAAAAATAGCCTTCTCAAAGCACAGTTTCACCGGCTTTCAGCATCGAACAATAGAGCTCCTCTTAAGTGCGTTTCTAAGCAGTGCCTCCTAAGGTATCTACGAATGTGGCGACGAAATGCAGGGTAGTAGCTCTATGTCGCACGTATCTGTGCATTGTGCGGGGTGTACCAGTTATCTCAGCAGCCCTCTGGTCGACGTTTTGGTTATCACCATTGTTATCTGGAAGCTCAGGGCAGCACATTTGAACGCTGCTGGCACCAGAAACGTCCGCATCTCCTACGTTCTTAACCCCTCGGCCACAGGGTGTCGATAAATTGCTTTTCTCTAAATTGCTTTTCTCAAATTCCTCAGCTTTTCCAGGTTTTCCCATAACATTTCATTTAAGTTCCCTGACCGTTACAAAAGCAGCAAATGAAGACATTACAAAAGTAGCAAATACAAAGGATAGGGTTGCAACGACTGTTCGGGCTGTTACCGTTTAATTTGATGAATCGAGCGATGGCTGCGCCGCCTAGTGATGTCACGGGCAACTGTGTCGGTGCAAAGGCCACCCATGCTACTGCACACCATGTCTTCCTGCTTTGTTGCACGTCCCTGCCAATCATTTTTCCAGACTTAACTTTCTGGCGATTTCCCTGACAATTCCAGGTTTTCCGGGCTGGTAGACACCCTAACTAATCACAAGTGCCGCTTGTGCCCTCCATTATGAACCAGAAAGCCCGACCACAAGTCTGGCTTGAGTTTCGGAGCTTGATTTGTGTGCTCTCCTGTAGGTTTGAACATTACCACTATATTGTTCTGCCCCCTTCAAGATATTTTGTTCTTTTGTTTCAAACTTTTACTCAAGAGGAGACTTTCCACATGGCCTCAACATGGAGGTCTGCTCTAGATAATGAAGAAATCCAAAAAGATTTTTAAAGCGATGCGCAACCTACCGTTTCCAATGACAAGCCATACCACCTCTCCGATGACCCGTAAACTTTATTTAAAATTGGCAGTTTACGCCAGGAAACATTCACTTGGCTTCCAAATGTTGTTTTTTGCTTCCACGTTCCTGAATGCTTTTAGCGGTACCACGCAGCAAAGGACTGCCGAGTGGAACGTCAGACGGCCAGGAATTAAGACTGAGAGCAAAATACAACATCCCAGGGCCAAGTGAATGTTTTCTTTAGTTTTCGTGCAAATCATTAATTTCAAATAAAGTTTCGTGGTAAGCTTCATGAAAAAGAAAACAGCTATGCAATGGATTAAACGAGGCTTTAACGTCACTAAAGTAGATGCGCAACACTTTGAAGCACAAACAGCACCGCAAGTTTGCAAACTCTTTTTGACGATTTAATGGTCAAACTTCCATCCTAGCCGATAGAGCGAACGGTCAGTTGTGACGCAATGCAGGACAAGATTGCAACAGGACATGTCATTCGTACCGTCGTATCAGATAACACTAAGTGAGCGTGAGATAATGAAATTAATCTGGCGCTATTGTCTGCCCCCACGCAGCCTGGTGAACAAAGGAGCGCGAGAAGAAAAACACGAAAGGCAAACGCACAACTACGCCCAAATACACAGGAAGAGGGCAAAATCTTCCGAAAAACTTTAGCCTAGCAAATGCTCTAAATATAGGTTTCAATATATGTACAGCAATAACAATTTAATTTTTTTTATTTAGTGTGCTTATCAACAGCCAGAGGCCTCAATGACACTGTGCTGAAGTGAGCCAATAAAATCCAGGAAATACAACAAACTCAACTTTCTGCAGATCCACTGCTGTTCTAAAGGTCAATGATGCTGCCTTTGAACTCCCGAAGGTCATTGTTAAGAGTACCAATCCTGTTAACATGACTACAAGTATTCAAACAATAGAACTATGCCAAAGAATTCAGATAATACTTGCTATGGTGGGTCCATCCTAGCCTAACAAGGTAAAATGCAGATAAAAACGTAAAAATTAACTCGTTTTCTACAGGCAAGTGCTCGCACTTGCCTATAGAAAAGAAGTTAATTTTTACGTTTACATTAGTGGTACGTAGGTACTTGCATAGTTTCTCTCACACAACTTTTCATTTAGCTGTCAGCAGGGTTCTCCCCAGGAATTTTTTGGGGGTGGACATAACCACCATGCGAGCGGTGGCAGGGTAGTTTGCAATGCGGCGAGGTCTACCTTGCCGACAGAACACACTTTGAGTAGGCTCTCTAACTTTGCGGCCCTGCGAGTGGCGCCACGCCGCGGTAATCAAACAAAAACTAAAAGGCCTCAGAAAAAAAAAAAAAAAAAAGAGGGGAAGGAAAGGCGGGGAGCGAGCGAAGAGGCGAAGATAAAGCGGGGAACACATGAGCGATGAAACTGAACGCCGCGCGGCACATGCCGCTTTCCACTAGCGCCGCACGAAAGCGACGTAAGAACGCCAGCACCGATCGCCATGATAATGCCGCACGGTGGCCGTCTTCGTAGCTCGCGTGTCCCCTGCTTTACTCGAGCCATGGCACGGGCAAGCATTGTGCAGTGAAAGAAAAGTTTCCTTGGCTCTCTGCCACTCGCTGCCTGCGGAGAGGACTGCAGTGCGGTGCACATTCGTCGCGTCCGTTTATTTTGCGCTTCTCCTCGGCTTAGAGCACACGAGATATCGAGCCCCGCACTCACTGGTTGAGGAAGGCGAAGAGGTAGCGTAGCACCACCACCACCGGCCTCGGGAAGCTCCGCACCACCTCCCGGACCTTGGACACAAACTCCGCCTTGGACTCTAGCTCTGGACGGGACAACAATCGTGCGAAAAGCGGCTCAGTTGCCAAGTTGTTCTGATACTGTATGGCCGTTGTGCTGTATCATGTATCGACCGAAATAGATCGAGGAAATGGAACCTGGTATTTCAAGCCAAAAATAAACTGTTGCAGAAAGCTGGAATGCCGTGAGAGTGCGATGCTAGCGGCAGTGATAAAAGCGCATGACATTACCTCAACTAAGAGATACGAAAGAAGAAAACAAAAAATTTCTCTAGAAGCCTAATATTCGTTGAACCAAAATTTGAAATTGTGGGTGCCTGCAGCATTTAATTTAGTGAAAAAAAACTTAGTTAGAAATGCAATATTGTTTTCTTTCTTGCTCACGAGTTGTTTCGCCGACGTAATTGCTACAGGAACCCACAATCTCAAATTTCGGCGTGATGAAAGACTTATGTGGACGTCAGCTCAAAGAGAAATTTAGTTTTTTCTTTTATATCTTTTCTCCTAGATAACATCAGGTGCTCAGTCTTTTGCATTTTACCACCATCGCTAGCGTCCCATTCTCACGAAGTTTTGGCTTTCTGCGAACCGTAGCTTATTTAAGCGGGCCGAGAAATTTCCCTGCTAGATTAAGCGGGGAAATTTTTCCACTAGATTTCTACATTTAGCGGGGAACTTTTTCCACTAGATTTAGCAGGAAAATTTTTCCGCTAGATTTAGCGGGGAAATTTTTTCTGCTAGGTTTAGCGGGAAAATTTTTCCACTAAATCTAGCGGGGAAATTTTTCCGCTAAATCTAGGGGGAAATTTTCCCACTGGATTTAGGGGAAAAATTTCCCCGCTAAATCTAGTGGGGAAATTTTCCCGATAGATTTAGCGAGAAAAAGTTTTCTGCGCTAAATCTGGCAAAAAAAAAGGCACAATTTCAAAAATGTGTTTTCTTAGCATACTTCTGCCTCCAGGAAGCAGAGCCTCTCCTTAAAACTGGTAAAAATGCCTGTACAGGTCACGTGTGGGACGCGATCCACTCCTTCAGAAACAAAGAAATGTTTTTTATGCCGCAATGCGTGGTGCGATCTCCCCCACTCACGGCTGATCTCCATGAGCTGCTCGAAGTAGAAGATGGGGAAAAGGGGCTCCCTGAGCTCCCGCAGGTACAGCTTCAGCACCCCGGCCACCGAGTTGATGTCGCTCGCATCCGACACCTCTGACAGGGGGTCCTCTCCTGCACATCCGGAAACACGTGCTCCGGGTCACGTGCACGCCCCTTCCTCAATGCCCACCAAGAAGTGTCAAGCAACCCAGAAGCAGACTCGTATGATGCACAGTAAATAACAGGTCGGGGTACCAGTATTTCCACAACTTTCCTGGCTCAGAGTAATGAAATACGTGGTAGACCAGCTAGCCTTTCCAACACGATGGTGTGACAATTGGCTCGTGTCATCGAATAAATAAAAATGTTTCCAAGTTTGCAAATAAGTTTCACTCGCGAACACTCGACATTAGTTTATCCATACTCGTTAGAAAATGATCCGATCGAAGTAGTAGATTCCCGTATAAATACCTTGGTGTGACACTGGCAAAAAGATCCTTACACAATCTAATCGCACAGAGATCATCATAGCCTAAGCCTCCCGATCTCTCGGATGCTTTAGGCGAGACTTCAAAGCTGCTCCAGCACATCTAAAGAAAGCGGCATATGAAACGCACCTCTACACTATAGTGTGCAGCGTCAGTTTAGAACCCCTATCAAATCTGCGTCATTAGCAGTCTCGAATCGGTTCAGAACCGGACTACAAGATTCGTCCTGTCTGACTACAACTTCACCTCCAACGAAAACTTCAATCGCGGCAAATTCGCCCCAAAAATGCTTGCCTTTCAGTTTTTCACAAAATCTACTACACTATCATCTTACACTCCACAGTGCCCTTCTACATTCTCCCGTTCAGATTCTCAGCCCGACTCGTCAACTGCCGAACAATCACCCGTTCATCGGGTGCCACTAATGCCATTTAACCGCTCCTTCATTCCCCGGACAATCACTGATTGGAACAACCCATTCCATTGCATCAATCGAAAAACCTGACGTATTCTGCATGGAACTAGCAGCTCGTTTTGTTTAAATTGCAAGAGGAAATCTCACTAATGCATTTACTGTTTTTTCTTTTTAAGTGTCATTATGTAGAGTTCTATTACTATATGTACTTTTACTCGCTTGTCATGACTGTATGACCACATCATGAAGCCCCCACTAACACAATGCCCTCTTAAGTGTATTTTAGGGAACACGAGTAAAAAATAAATAAGCTGTTTAGTTGTGCTTTGAAGCATCAGACAGTGCAACAAAAATGTGTTGACAAGGGCCATTTTTTTAGATCCAAAAGCCACATTGCAGCAGCTGCTTTTGAAACACACGACTGATAACATGAGCATCTGTGAAGGGTAATTTTAGGCATAATATCAAAGATAAACAATTAGTCTTCCATAGAAATATTGTTGGAAGTGAATAATTGTAAGTTACAAATTCAACCTGTCGTTCAAGTTTTGGAGGTAGCAATAAAGGTGCAAATTTTAATTCAGATGAAGAACAAAATCTTTGTATTGTTATATCTTGAGAGACAGCCCACCTAATATTGAAAGCAAATTGGGTGAAAACAAGGAGTAAATTAACTCTCGACGTGAGATAAAAAAGAGTTGAGAAAATGCTAGTTTTGGATTTTGTGACCCGCTAAAACTTGAGGTCATAGGGAGAGGCGGTGAAACAAAGACGACAGTCCTTCCCGGCCATCAATGTCCGCTTATCCCCCCCCGTTTTGGCTAAGTAACACCATTTCTGCCAAGGTCACCATTGGCCAAGGCTCCGCAATCACTAGAAGTGGGCTATCTTTCGGTATTTCAGAGAAAATGGCAAAGCATGCGAAGCATGCAGGGTGAATTATCTTTCAGAGTTGGGGCGTCTCAAGGGATATTACGATACTTTACTTAAGCGTTTAGACACATTTTGCGTGTATCGCTTCAATATAATCCCTCCAAACGTAAAAGACACAAAAAACAACTACTGCTTGTCCGTGCTAACCGCGTTGCATGCCGTCAATTGTAACCGGTGTAAATGCAACCTCGCTTGAAGCACATGCAAGCAAGCTCCCGGACACGTTACACTTGGAGCAATTGTTTGGATGTGGTACCATTTTCATTCCGAACACGGTAGTGTCCGTTTATAAAACCCCAACGCTGCCATGCACAAGGGTGACAGAGGACACAGCGTGCTGGCATTTTGATGGGCCTGCGTGTACGGAGCATTTCTATAGGGTGGCAACACTTGGCGTTCCGCACTGCAACCGAGTAAACTTACTTTCCCATTGATCCCCTTTAATAGTTTCGTGGCAACTGCTAACAGAGCACCACAAATGTCAAAACTGAGGCCACAAACCTAAGCACGAGGGTGGTTGAAACATTTTCCGCACTCTGGTTGCACAATTTATTTTAAACGAAACCTTTCCAAATTCAAGTCTGTCGCGAATAGTTGCGTAGGCAAAGCATTGGCTGATTTGCAAACGATTTGTCGCACCATCCACAGCCGCCCGCTCATCAACTAGAATTGATTCACACACACACGCTCAAGGTTGTCCTCAGTCAAGAGCGCGGACAGGGCTGACACTCGAGCGTCCTTCCTAAAACTTCCGTGTCTATTCAAACATACTTCTTTGCAACAAAACATCTACATCATACTGTACACAAAGCCTTCGATAAACGTCGGCGCCAGACACACCCTAAACCACGAAAACAATGGCTCCCTCGCCCGAGCAAGTCGGAAGTGGGGGCAGCCATTGTTTTTCATAGATCAGTCACAACTGAACTGACGTGGCGTGTTCAAACCTGCGCGCCAGAGACCGAAGGGACGGCGACCTCGTACGAAAAGTGCCGACAAGGTAGTGCAGAATTTTTAAGGCAACTGGAGTGTGGATCATTTTTAGTCACCCTCGTGATTGGTAGTCACTGCAAACAAAACACAATTAGCGTACGAACACCTGAAGCCGAAACGCGAATTCAACGGATCTGTATCTGCACTTCGTGTCGCTTTAAGTCCAACTGCATCCAACTCTACGATTCGACGGAGGCAACCGAGCAGTGCCCAAAGTGCGTCGTCACAGCGCTCGTCTTTTTTGTGTTTTTGCCATCACCAGCTAAACAAATCACGAACGGCGAATGCGCCGCAATCTTGCGTTTTTAAAGTGCTGGCTTCATAGGGCCACCCAACCCCAGGAGCCGCGTAAGCACGAAATCTGCGAGTCGGTTGGTCCGTCACCGCTAAACGATCTCGAAAGAAAAAGATGGAAACCGGTGCCAGGGATTGAACCCCGGTCAGTGGCACAGAAGCCGAATGCACCGCCAACTGAACTACGGACCCAGCACGCAGGAACCGGAGGAGCAGAAGCAGGTGGTGCGAGAAAGTGTGCAAAGTGGAGGGGGGTGGAAATGGCAAGATAGAGAAGAGCAGAAACGGGCAGCTTTAGGAAGAGCGCACAGAACGAGGAGGAGTGGAAAGGGAAGGAAAGCGCACTTCCCCTCTCTAGGTGACCCAGAAAATTTGGCACAAAGGCCTTGTACCCAGGCGGTGCCGAAGCTAAGCGCACGCACCCTCACAAAGAGACAAAGGGTGCGACGCGATCTGTTTCCGTACAAAACCTTGCCCTAGACACCACCCGAACTAAGATCACAATCCACCCCAGGCAGTGAAAGACTGAGGGGCTTTCTGGCCTGGGCACCACCCCAACTTAGAGCACCACCCGCCCTACAAAGCTACCACATTTAGAAGTGTTTGGCAGAATGAACCAACATGCAGCCAAATCTTTCTGCGCGTGATTGGTTTGGTGACGGTAAACCCACAAAGAAAACGAGCGTCGTGACAATGCATTTTTGACAATGCCCGATTGGCTTCATTGAATCAAAGCGTCAGCTAAGGTCGGACTTAAAGTGACACGCAGTACAAAACCAAGCCCAAACACGACCCGATCCCCGCGGTAGTCCGGCAGTCAGTACCAGGAGCCGCACCTCTCTCGAAGCAGTCCCTGAAGTGGTTGATCTCCACCTGAGAACCGGACACCCTGAACACGCCCTGGTGGTGGAGACCTGCAACAGGACCATGTCAGCACCTCAGATAAGCCCACAGTGGAAGCTATTTAACACAACTGCATAAAAATTGAAAAAAAAAAAAAAATTATCCAATGACATGACTCGCAGTAATACGACCAGCCATAAACTTAGCACTTCAGCTGCTAAACTTTTTTTGTTTGAAAAGAATGAACATGACTTTGTTAGATGGTGTCCTGTGTTATATTGATGCGTACTGTTGCACCCACATATAACGAAGTCAGTTACAACAAAATGGTGGCTATAGAGAAGCGATCACTACTTCTACTCCCATCTGCACTTTTTTTTCTATGCACTAGTGCCCGTTTTTAGCGAAGGATATTGAACGGCTCCTGCAAATACAGCAAAACAAAATTTTCTGACAATTAAAAAAACAATCAAATTCAGATAAGTCATTAAGTTGCAGAGCGCTACTTTGCAGCCGCGGCCGAGCAGCCCCCCAGAACGGGTGGCTGTTTGACCGATTCCTAGAGCTGCAACGATCTCTACAAGAGTGCGTGAAAACATGTTAGCAAAGCCCCTGAGGATAACTTTGATTCGTTCGCACTTGTCAATGCGGACGTTCCCGTTGCTCCTGCTACGGATGCTGCGATCGTAGACCTTGCGTGCGGCCAGGGTATACACAAAGCGACGTCGGAAAGACACCACGGGCAACAGTGACAACTGCGGAGACGCAAAACACCCTACGGCTTCTTCGAAACAAAGTGGAGTGCAGTGGCGGTGACAGTGTTCGTACGATGCCTGGAGCGGTTCAAGAAGAACTGATGCTCGGATGAAATTATCGGCAAACTCCACTTAATTATACAGTTGAACCTCGATCTAACAAACCCCGATCTAATGAAATTCGCGATTTAACTACATTTTTTTCGTCTTCCTATATTGCTTCCATTGAAGACAATGTATTTCATCTCTCGATTTAGCGAAGTACTTTTGCGCCGCAGTTTCGATTTAACAAAGTCTATGGAAATCGCACGTACACATATCGACGGCCTCCGCGAGAAAAAAACTAATTAACAGAAACAAACTTTATTGTTGAAAACTAAGCATAGGAATGTGCAGTCATTGTCTCTTTCACAAAATAAAAAAAAGTACACACTGGTGGTGGTGGTAATGATGATGATGATGATGATGATGATGATGATGATGATGAGTAGCCTTGTAGCTTCTGCCTCTCGTGGGACAAAAAATTGCAGTGGCTTAGCTCGGCTATGCCAGGATGTACGTAGCGTAAGCTTAGGTTCAGCTGGTAACTCTTAGCTTTCCTGGTTGTCTAGGATTAGCTTGATTATCATGCTTACTGCTGCTACAATGATACACACACGGTACACGCATTACGTGACCACTTCGGGATCCGATGAGTTAAGCTTCTCCGCTCTTCTTATTGTGGAGGAGGCGCCGTGTAACCGAGCTTTCGGCTGCACGTCAAAAGATCCCCAGGTGGTCCAAATTAACCCTCAGTCCTCCGCCGGGGCGTGCCAGATGCCCGTCGTTGGTTTGGCCAGCTGTGCGCCGTGTTGTTATGTATCAAGCAACCAAGCTGCCGCCCAGAACAACCGGACAGCGCAAGCGAGCGGGTGCATGCGTGCGGCGCGTGCATAGGGAACTAATTTGGCGCCATACCAGTCCTGCCCGTTCCGTCACTGCTCCTCGCGCATGCGCGGCACGACTCTCCAGGAGCCACGCGAAACTGCTCAACCTCGGCCAGTGTAACTTACGCTACAAAACGTCCGCCATTACATGCACCTACGCCCAACGAATTAGAGCTCTGACGCGTATGCAACAACAAAAATTGTTTCATGCCTTGAGTGTTGTGCTGGAAGTGGTTGTATTTTTCTTGGAACAATGAGTGGTACACAGCGCAAAAGGAAAGTTCTGTCGCTCGACATCCAGGCAAATTGCTGAAGTGAAGAATGGCGAAAAGAAAAAGATGGTTGCTGAGAAATATGATTTTTCGCAGAGTTCGCTTTCAATGATTCTGCAGTTGAAAGACAGCATTATGGCTACCGAAAGTGCCCGCGGTTGCTTTCCCAACTGCAATTGCTTTCCCGGCTGCACGCTCTCCTGCGGTACTAGGCACTGCTTCCAGAACGGTACAAAATGAGGGTCGATGAACTGCATTCTTCTATTACTGCCACATTTTGCAGTAGAGTCTTCTTTGTAAACGCCGACTTGCAAGATGTGAGGCGATTGGAGGGTTGTGGGAGCCTGGAAGACCAATTGCAATGCTAAAAAACAAAAACCTCGGTTCAACGAAATTAACGATTTAACAAAATTTTCGGCTCAAAAGACGACTTTGTTAAGTCAAGGTTCAACTGCATTTTTACTCGGTAAAGCTTCCACGAGATGCTCATAACCAAGGTTTGTTTAATTAAATATACGGTCAGTGTTCCGCAGTGTTCCTGTCCACCTTCAAGGCTGTTGGCACTGTTTTTGTGGCTCTATTACCTTTAACAAATTACTGCTTATATAGAAATCTTTTGCCGTCCCGTTGACTTCGTTATAATGAGGGATTACTGTATATCGAGGTGTATTTTAGATTAGACATGCATTATCTTATGAAGACCTACACTTTTCAAACTCCAAAAGCATCCCTTATTCCTCTGACAACCAAATGTTGTAAGAACTACTTCGCACGGCGCATGAACAATGGGCAAAACTCGCTTTTTTTCTTGGAATGATGGCGAGTACAGTTAACTAGCGGTTAATCAAAAATCATGCATCTATACTCTTGACCCGAATGAGGAAACTCACCGTATAGGTTGATCACCCGCACACAACTTCGAATCACCAGTGGCACTTCTTGGTCGGTGGCCTGCACATGACGTCATATCAGATTTGTGAAAAAAACTAACCCCAAACATTAAGAAACAAAGTTAATGCAATGTGTCACAGCCTCAGGAGCTACTATTAAATTTCAATGCCAAAAATTTGCTTGCATATCTAGATCCTAACTCACTGATGGTTACTTCCCCTAATTAAGTTGACAAATACACAAATTCACACTGATTTAGTCTGAAAAGCAACAATAAGTGCAGTGTGTTGTCAACACCTCCAACCTTGCTGTAAGCAGAGTGCTGAACCCAAATAAAACTGTATAAATATCTTACCCATGAACCACTTTGCACCAATATTTAAAAAAAAAACCAAAAAAAAAAACCAAAAGGCCATTTGCTTTCCCTTTATGTGAGCAATTGTAACTGCTGCTAGATATGTATTGTAAAAAAGGAATCTAACTGTAAATGTTATACATTTCAGCTCCGCTAAGTGTAATGCATTACTTTCCAAAAATAACCCCTCCCAAAAATGAAGAAAAAAATTTTTTTTAAAGTTAATGATGATAAAGCAATTAAATGCAAAGGTGCAAGCAAGCTAGACAAGAATGACGAAAATAATCCCTGGAGAAAGGGACCAAAGGGGACAAAGGACAAACACAGATCTCCAAACACAGCACGAATAAAACGTTTGTAGTTCACTAAAGACCTAGTAAAATAGCAACACCTCCTACGATGTGTGCAGTTTCGTAAGCGGGCACACTTTAAAAATGTGCAATCACCGTCGTACACATACGAACCGTTAGAGCCCCTAGGCGACTCTCACCTCGAGGTACTCTTCGAGGCTGCCCTCGAACAGCTTGGGCTGCCCCCTGGTCGCCTGCCGCCCGATGCGCTTCTTGCGTGGCGGCGGCGGCCGCCCTGGGGCCTGCGGCGTGTGCGCCGGCGAGGGCGTGGCACCGCACGATGCTTCGTTCTCCTTGCCCAGTGCGGCACGCATGAGCTCCGCCTTGGCCTGGAGGCGTGCCACCACGTTGCAGCCCAACGTGTAGTCCCGGAATTTCTGCAACCAGGGAGGGCGCAATCCAACTTTTTCCAAGTAGGTGCCACCACCTAGATGCGCGACTGGGTTCGAAGCCACTCGACACCCGAAACGTCGGCTACATCCTGTTTGACTATCGATCCGGCATGATCTAGATACGGCTCCCCACAAACTTCCCCTTTGTCCCTGTCGTGGGTTATCTTTGGCCCCGAAGTTTATGCGATGAAACCGTCTTCCCTCTCTGCTCAGCCAGAAAGAAGAGAGAAAGGGTACCAAATTCATCTACTCTGAAACCGATGTTTCTGCAAAAGGTCCATTTCAGATTTTAGCTTAAAGTAGGATCTCCCTGTAGAAAAGCCAACTGACCTCTTCGTAACTCAAATGCATGTACTAGCGGTAGTACAAGCGCACTTAAACTTTCGTACTATATTCGTATCTTCAATATATCAGTGCATGCCTACTACGCCGTTAGGCATTATGTGGAAAGATACATGAGTGAAAACATCAAAAGTACATACACACAAACGAGCAAAGAACATGGTGCACTATAAAATGAGTCCTGTAATACATCGAAAAAATGTGCATCGCCGGCAACAGTACCAGCAGTAGATTCCAATCACGGATACCTTAAACAAAAAACGTAAAGGAAGAACGGTCTGTATGATAACAATATTCTTTCACTTTTTTAGAGTTAAATTCTACAAAGTGGCACCGAATTTTTTTTTTTTTCTTTTTTCTTTTTTTGCAAAAATACATAATGCAAGTTTAAACCTAGTGCTGGCAGCTCAGGTTAGATGCCCAAATGAGAGAACAGGCCGTTTTCTTATTTTAAAAATGGGAATGGACCCCTTTTTCTGCTAAAATCTTTTGAAAATCACAGAAATTTTTTAAAAAGATATCAATTAGCTTTGAGTTTTTTTACATTTGATCTCAACCGTTAGCGCTACGTTTGGACAGGGACTGAGGGTTCTGCAATGCATAGTTTATTCTTGCAATAAAACCCAAAAACACTTTACATTCTTTTCGGGGGGACACGGTATACTGTATTCTTTTGAAAGCACCACCTAAGCTGTATGTACTACTAACCTTTCAAACCTCCATATTTTTTTTTCCATACTTTTTTTTTTTAAGAACTGTAGTAAAATAAGTCCGGCTCCTTGCAATTCAAACACATATTCGAATATGATTTCTGGAAATTGAATTGAAACACAAATTCCAGATTGAAATGCAATGTCTGGTAAATTCAAATTTCAGGTTAAAATACACTTTCCCAAAACTGTATAAAAATCCGAATTCCAGATTCGAATACTGTCTGGAAAATACAAATTCAAGGTTAAAATATGATTTTTCGAAACTGTATCCGAATCCAAAATCTAGATTAAAATACAATGTCTGGGAAATACAAATTACTGATTAAAATCCTGAAATCGCATTCAAATTCGAATATCAGATTCAAATACCTGGAAAGTACAAAACCGAGATTCATACACAATTTTCGGAAATCGAATCCAAATACAAATTTCAGGTTGAAATACAATGTCCGGAAAGTTGGAATTCCGGGTACAAATACAATCTACCAAAACTGTATCCGAATCCAAATTCTAGATTCAAATACAATGTGTGGGAAATGTAAATTACTGATTAAAATACAATTTCTGGAAACTGCGTTCAAACTCAAATTTCAGATTTAAATATATTGTCTGGAAAATACAAATTTCAAGTTAAAATGCAATTTTGGATTCGGATTCAGTTTCGGAAAATCATACTTTAACCTGGAATTTGTATTTTCCAGACAGCATATTGAAATCTGAAATTCAAATTCAAATGCAGTTTCCAGATATTGTTTTTAATCAGCATTGTATTTGAATCTAGAATTTCCAAAACTATATCCGAATCCAAATTCTAGATTGAAATACACTGTCTGGAAAATACAAATTGCTGATTAAAATACAATTTTCAATTTCCTAAAGCTGCATTCGAATTCGAATTTTAGATTCAAGTATATGGTCTGGAAAGCACAAATTCCAGATTCAAACACAATTTTCGGAAATCGAATCTAAACACAAATTCCAGATTGAAATACAATGTCCGGAAAATACAAATTCCGGATTCAAATACAATCTGCCAAAGCTGTATTCGAATCCAAATTCCAGATTCTAATAGCCCTCTTTGAGCCCTAGCCCGTTGCGTGGAAAGGAGCCTGCCACGTGACCCGGAAGAAAGCGAGCACGGCGCGGGCGTCCGGGGGGGCACCCACCTCGAGGTAGAAGTCCTCGGTCTCTTGCTTGTCGGCCCTGAGCTTGAGGGCGAGGGTCTCGGGCTGCTTGACACCATTACGGTCTTCGAAGAGGGCGCTGCAGTCGCACTCCTTGGCCGCTATCATGTCGAGCAGCGATCGCTCCGCCGTCTCCAGGGTCTTCCAGATCTGCACGGCCAGAGAGACCGGCCTCGAGACACGCCCACTCGCTAGGCCAGACGGCAATCCAGTCGACCCCTACCGCTGCGGAATTACTATAATAATCTAGAGGAAATGGGTCCCACACATTCCAACCGCTTCAAAACACCGGCGCACGGACGCGGACACCAGTAAATCCCAGTGAGCGGTCCTGACGGGCCCATATCGCCGGCGACCCCTTAATGTACACGAAAAAGCGATGACACATCACCCGTAAGGTCTGTACCTAGATATTTTCTAGCTTACTTCGCAAAAAAGCACCAGCGTCGCACACGTACAACAATAAAAAAAATTATGTTGAAATCGCTGATGTCGCTACGCCGATTCTCGACTAAATGCGTTAGCTTTTAGTGTAGGGGCTCCGACTTGGCAAAGGGTGGGAATTCCAACCTTGCAATGGTTCATGTACCGTTGTCTTCGAAGAGCCGATCTCTCTTTCCGGGTGCCGGTGGTTTCGTGCAGACGGCGTCGTTGCCGCGCCTCTGTTTTACGTTGTCACTTACGTCGTGCCACTGCCGCTCTATCCCCTCCTTTCCCACTCCCGCAGCACGTTCTCGGAAGCTTGCGAAGAGACCATTTTTCTCTTAAGGGGGGATACGGCCCCGAAATTCCATTTTTTTCCTAAAAATTGCATTTTCAAAAAATATTATATTTGGGTTCACTATGTTCTAAAGCATAGTTTCAGAAAGTTTTATTTATAAATGCGCAGTATTTATTTCGCAAAAAATTATTTTCGGCAAGCTCGCGGCCGCGCGCGGCGACCCGCCGAGCGAGCAGACGGCGAAGTTCGGCATTTTCAAATTAGGCCTACTCCGCGCTCGTTCGACGCAGCCGAGATACCTTACCCTCGTTGGAAGCACCGTTTCTTCTAGTTTCTGCCCATAGAAGCTTGCTACGTTTGAGGCTATCTGTGTCCCGGGAGAACCTCGTACATACAAGCAGAAAAAACGTGGCAACTATGATACCAGCAATCCGATTGGTTGTGACCCGAAACAGGGCTCACGATTGGCCGCCTGCACGCGCTATCGGCAGCTTCTTTCGCTTCTGATCGTATCGCTAGTTCGCCGCTGTTTAGATTCGTTTTCCCTCTCTGTTCCCGGTAGTTTTTCTGCCGAGAAATGCCTGCTTCCAAAGTTAGCACTCGCAGTAGCTTTGGCCGGCGTTCTCAACGGCGGAAACAAAGAGCCGGCGGAGACGGGGACCCGTCTCCGCCGGCACCATCGTCGCTGTCTCCGCCGCCGTCGTCACAATCTCCAAGCGCAACTGGTGCTTGGCGGACATCGGAGCCTACAGCTTCATCTCCGAATCGGATGTGCTGACCACGTTCGAGAGGAAGCTCAGCCTGCACGATTTCGACGCGGGGATTACGGACGACCCGGAGCTGACAGACGCTCCCGTTGAAAAGCCCCTGAACGGCTCCTCAATGTGTCCGCCATGCAGACTCTTGTTGCGATTTTACTCTGCCTCAAGTGCCACGAAAAACTACTGAGCTTGCAAGAAATTGGCATCAACCTTCAGTTCGTGGAGACATCGGCGCGACACCGCACTCACCATCAATCGGCAAGTTTCGAGAGAACGAACTCGCGGTACGTCTAGGCGTCGTTGGAAAAGACTGTGGCATCAGTTTCACAAAGCTCACGAATCTCTTCGGGAGCCTCAACGCACTGCCCTCCTCATGCTCATGTAGTTGAAGGTGCCACCAGTGACTCGGGAAAATTTCGAGTTTCTGGCATCGTCCGAAAATAATAAAAAAACAAGTTGAAACTTCAAACGCATTTGTCTCAGTTTCACTTTTTGGCAGGAATTCTTGTTTTTGGAAAGCTATCGTTTGACATTCTGAATACAGAGGGACATCATTCAAGGTTTTCTGGGACTGAAATTTTCTGGGGAACAAGATAGACTACTTCACAGTTCAAAAAATCTACTCCTTCATGAAAAAAAAAATTTTTTTTTTTAACAAAAATTTTACATTTTTTTTTTTAATTTTGGGATGTTCTTATTTTTGTTATAATTGAATATTTTGCAATTTATTTTTTATCTGGGTTGCACTGTGGGTATTGTTCTTCACATTAAAGCAAAAAGTTTGCCACCAGCTAATTTTAGTTTTCTACGATAGACTTCCTAATGAAGTGTCTTTTTTCTGAAGTGCGAGAACTGTAGCATACTGTAAAGTTGACCAATAATGCTAAAACTTTGCAGATTATCCTTCCTCATAGTGCTGAAATAACCCTCAAAATTTGAACCAAATTGGGTGAAGGGTTCAAAAGTTGACCCTCCCAGGCCATATCCCCCCTTAAGAGGGAAAGTGGACGTAACGAGCGAACGAACAAAGCAAGGAAGCATGCGGCCGTCCAAATGAAGGACGGCCGCATGCACCCGGGCAATAAATGCCAACGCATTTCATAACGCCGACGAACCCATGAACAACTTCAACTCATTGCGGCAAAAGAAATGTACCGAACCAACTGTCTGCTTTTTTTCTGCTCTTTTCTATTGCTATCTTCCTAGTTCTTTCTTCTGGGACTGCCGACAGCCCCTCGGGCACGCAGCGAACCACCAGCGGCGAAGCGAAAGCGGCCTCACCTCGTCGTTCTCGGTGCAGAGAGACGTGAGGCGCTTGTTGAGCATCCGCAGCCTCTGGTCCAACTCCTCTTCGATGGGGTGCTCCACACTCACCCGCTGCGGCTGCACAGGGGAAGAAAGGACCGCGGAAGGCGAGGTGCAAACGGGTTTTATTCTGCCATGCACCGTCAACCCGCCCGGGTTAACATTTTTCTACGGAGCCACAGAACTACGCAACGTTTTCCCAGTATGCCGGACAAATAAAAAAAACAGTACCGTAAATTCCCGGAAGATGCTCCAGCCCCGAAAGATAGCCCACCCCTATTTTTGGCTTGATTTGCTATATTCTTTTAAACACCGAAAGATAGCCCACTCCTAGTAATAGTAGTGTTAGGATCAACAATGGCCTCGGCATGAATGCGGCTAGTTCACCATGGTGGGATATAAGCGAACGTTGCTGACTGGGAAGTACAGTCATCTTTGCTTCATTTCTCCTCGCCACCATAACAAGCTTGGAAGAGACACGACCTAAAAATAGCAATTTTTTAAACTTTAATTGATTGTACACCGAATATTTAGCCCACTCCATATTTTCACCCGAATTTCTCTTGATGTTAGGTGGGCTATTTCTTGGGATTTAATGGTAAGTGTGCAAACGAGCTGGCGCAAATTGAATGTAGGTAGTCACAAAGAACTTGAGACTGAGGTAAGATAATGGACAGCACAAATGAAGTCTCAAGCACACTATTTTAGAGGTTTCTTGTCAAATAAATTTTCAGATATGTTTGAGACTTGGGTGTTTAACAATTCGTGTCTGAAAACTTGTTTGTCCAGTCACTAATTTTACCTGTCTCCAGTTCTTTGCAATTATCTTAAAATGAAATCAATTAGCCCAACAGGCTGGTACATTGTAAAAACAAAGTACAAACAAGGAGCACAGGAAGTCTGATGCTCCAAAAAGAAATGCAGAAGCAACTAACAGCAAAAATTACAATCGTGAATATTTTATTGAGTTTAAAGCTAGTGATCTTAATAAATATATAAACGCAAGTTTTCAAAAAAAAATACTCAAACGAAATGGTGGCACGGCTCACCTGTGCTCATTTCATTAAATATGGGAACGAAGCCTACCAACATAAAAAAGTTGGGAAGAGGTGAAACCAAAAACTACTAAAGACAAATGTTACCCCAAAGTTTCCCATTTGGAATGGAGTTTGAATATACGGAGGATTTAAAGAACGAGAATTATGCCACTGGCAAAGGGGAAGCACACCAAACTCTCGCTTTAATGAGGTCGGTGAGACAGCAAAACAACGTTCAATATAAGCAGTCATTCGGTAAAAGAAGGAGTGCTGTAATTTCATTCGCCGTAACCGCAAAAGTGCACAAAGTGCTTCAAAACAAAGTTATTGGTGGCCTTTTAAGTATGTACTCAAATAATGAGCATGTTTCCAGCCTTTTTACATAGGCAATATGCTGAAAAATGCAACTATGCCAAGGAGCATGTAGCTTCCATCACCCCCATCGGCTCAGCGGTTAACAGAGTATGCGGAGAGCAAGTTCGTCTGCTTCTTTTTGCAGGAGGTTGTGGTGACGTCAGAACGCCAACCTCTGATTGGTTCTGAATGAAGAATAGTGGGTAGACCCCAAGGCCGCTTGCTTCGAGGTCTACCCACTATCCTTCAATCAGAGCCAATCAGAGCTCGACGTCTCTCTGACGTCACCACAACTGCTGTGCAAGAAGCAGACGACTTGTTCTCCGCATAGTCCATTGACCGTTACGTTCCACCGCCCCCTCTCTTTCACATTTGCCCGTAAATGCCGCTGTTCAGAGGCAAGCACTCTACAGAATTCAAGTTGACTCTTCTCTAACTCGTGTTGGCAGCTGTCTAACCTCCTCGTCCCCCCGGTGCGGCTGGAAGCTGAACTTGCGGGGCACCATGAAGGCGGCGTTGTTCCCCTCGAGGAAGCGCTGCTTGTCTGCCCGGGAGTCCAGGTCCGCCGCCCGCTGCTGCAGGGCGGCGCACTCCTGCTGAAGGGACCGCTGCAGGCACTCCTCCGCGTTGCCGCACGTGCGCAGCGCCCGCGACAGGCACACATGGAAGCCAAAGTCCATGCACTGCGAGAGGCGGAAAGAGACCACACTCGTCTCGGTTATTCTCAAACAAGAAGATAAATTGAGCGGTCCTGCGTTAATCTTCAGTACGCTCTCGACGACAGCTCGGACACGTCACGAAGAAGTCGTTGGGCCTCGGCGTCACGTTCATGGTGTGTGAACAAGAGCGTTCAAAACAAATTAGGCATCTGACCATTTTGTTCCGAATGCTTTTGTTTCTCTTTTGTTCCAAAACGCGTGAAAGCGCGTCTCCTGGTGCAAGCTCACAGCACTGACAGTGCTGTGAGCATCGTTTTTCTTTTTCCAGAGAGTGTGTGCAGTGGGTATCGGATACTACAGAAACCCAAAGTATAGGCCAGGTTAGCAGCACTGCGGCTCAGTGGTAACGTCTCCGATTCACACGCAGTGGACCCAGTTTCGATTCCCACAGGCGGCGGGCACTCTTTTTTGAGGATTTTGCAACATCGACGATGGACGCCCTACTTTGCCAACTACGACATCAACATCTACAACTACAACATCAACAACGGCTGTCATTTCCAGTGGTGGGAAGTGCCTGTAAGAGTCATCGCTGTAAAATAGCGACAAAGGCAGCGACAACGCAGGATTTATTGCGTCTTGCTTTGCGGCGACGTTGCACAAAGAAACTCGGTATGGATTTCGTGCCCTGCAGGCGCAAGCATCGTCGTGCACGGCGTTTCTAAAAGAGGGCCCTGCCAAAGCCGGCGCCCGACTGAGAATGGAACGCGAAGTCTGCGTTTCTCGCAGCCGTGCACGTCGGTCCTAACCCTGCCATTTCAAACTTTTTGTTTCTTCCCTCTCCTGCACACTAGTATCTCAAAATATCGGTAAAGTCGAAAGATTTCCGCATCGTGAAATGAACTCCCATAGGCACAATGCATTTACTCGTCGCTCAATTCTAAAGGTTTTCGGGACTGACCTCCGATGTCCCAAAATCTTGACAACAAATATTGCAACAAAAAAAAAAAAAAACAGGCAGGGCACAGGAAAGAATGAACTGGTGACCTAAACATTGGTCGAGGAAGAAACAGCAATCGAAACACAAACGCACAAGAAAAGAAGAAAAAAAATTGTGGATCATCACACGTGCGTACGTGACAATGCAAAAAAAAGAAAGAAATCCCACGTCATGAGCGCAGCAATGTGCGAAACAGCATGTGCCTCAGGGACATTTGTTGTCTTAACTTTTTTTTTCTCCCTTATCAGTCGGTGTCCCCGTTTCTCTCTCCCTCGCGCTCAAAAGTATCTTCGCCTCTTCGTCTTTTCTTTTTTCTTCTTTGCGTTCCCACTTTTTAATTTTGCTGTCTCATCTTACGAGTGTTGCTTGTTGATAATTTTGTTGTGCTCGTCGAGTTTCAATTGGCACGATTGTTGGAAGGGTTCCACTCCACAATGCGCGATCAGTGCAATGCAAATTCGGTACCTCGCTTATCTCGAAACTCCACTCATCTCGAATTTTTTTTTCTAGTTTTTACGAGTTCGAACTGACAAGAATTAACTGCATGCAAATGTGCTTGGTGCCCGGTAATGACATTTCAAAATTGCTTTCTCCGCATGCACGGCGCAATTGATTCACAATCAGATTCACAACCGGAGGCACCCTGGTTCGAAACCGAGCACTTCCACAGGAATGGGGGCTGCACAGTACAGTAAGAACTACAAGTCAGCGCCATCGCACCTTCTTTCCACTTGGCGGAATGTCTAGGCCAGGCGATTTTTTTATGCCCATTGGGTCCCTTCGAGTTTAAATTATCAAGATCCGACTGTAGGTGTTATTTTTACCGGTCACCTCAAATAGGACAAACACAGTGAATATGTCACCAAAAGGTACAATAGGAAGTTACGGTATTTGAAACGAATGTCATCCAGAGCGCCACCTTCTCCAAAGCAGCTCGTTTATAAAACACTCCACATGTTTTATAAAACACTCACTCAGCTTGCATCAAAACTCTCTTTCCAATCGTCAGTGGGTGCACGAAGATACCTCGGGGCAGATATGTAGCTTTCTCAAAAAGCACTAACACTCACTTTGAACACCCAAAAACAATCAGCCGATGCCCCTCTCAAGGCCCCTTTCAATGCCCAATGCTCAATGCCCCTCTCAAGTAGAGTAGCATTAAATTTTAATCGTACAATATCCCACCGGAATAAGTTACCTATATGTGTCGTAGAGTGTGAGACTGTCTCTCTGTTCCTGGACGAGTTCGTAACAACCGCGTAAATATCTCGGTGCTTTTTGCTTCCGTTTTGTCGCCGACACGTACCTGCCGTCCATTTTTCCATTTTGTTTGTTTTTGAGAAACTTTACGCGGCATACCGCGAATTAGCGTTTATTGCAATGCATTGTATGTTGGTGAGTGACCTTATTTGCTCTCCTCGGTTTTTATTGCAATTGGGACGCTTTTGTATTATGTCCCTCCTATTATATTCCCTCTAGAGATAACAGCATTCTAAATAATTTAAAAAAGAATTGTGCTACGGGAGTTGGCTACGGTTGCCGTTAGGCGCCAGCTCCCGGCGCTCAGTCGTCGAAAAGCCAGAAAAAAAAGCGAGCAGACGCAATGATAGCCGTCATCGCGGCGTCCAATCTCGTGTCCGTTTCAACTGCCGCATCCACCGCCGCTGCAGTGCCACTGCCAGGATTGCGACGGGCAACGACATCGCAGGAGAGCAACCTCATCGGAAGAAATGCAGACGAGGGCACGGCAAACACGCCAGTCATGCATTCCCCCAACAAAGAAAAAGGAAGGAAGGCGTCCACTCACGTCCATGAGGTCCGAGAGGTCCTCGACGAAGTACTTGTGGATGGCCGCGTTGGCAGACTCCATGCAGAGCAGGTACTCGTTGCGGGCCTTCAGGCACTGCAGGCGCACCTCGTGGTGCTTGGCGGCACGCTGGGGACGAAGGGGAAGGGGACAGGCGGAAGACGACAATAGGCGGGTCACCAAAAAGTGCAAAGGCTGACGACGACGCTCCGTCCCGGTAAAAGAAGACGGTTACCAGACGACCCCAATCGACTACAAACTGTGAGTACCCCTTTAAAAAGACACTGACAGAATATTTATGCTCGCCAAGGTTTTCATTTGTACATGATATATGAGAACCTAACTACCCAGAACGCAATGTGCGGCTCAAAATTTGTTTTCTTTCCATCCGAAAACCATCAATCGAGAACTGGCCGGTTTCAGTCGAGCTCACTGTCTTCTCCATGGTCACGTGCCATTTTCCATGGTTCAGACTAGGGGTGTGCGAATATTTGAAACTTCGAATGCTTCGCGAATAATGCTTGCTATTCGATTCGATTCGCTTCGCACTTTCGTTGTTCGAAGTTCTTTGAATACTTTGAAAACTATGAATAAAGCGGAACTCGCCGATTAATGTCAACCCGCGGTCGAGTTCCCCGTTTTGTTTTTGGACTGCAAAGTATGGTTTCGAGCTTGGCAAACCCAAAAAACCAACCTAATATGTTTGTTTTTTTGTATGAAGCATTGGAAAGTTTTTTGCACGCAGTAGCACGATCTGTCCTTTGCTTGCTATGATGTCTGGATTGCGGAGTTCGCGAAGTGGCTGCGATAGATTTGATGAGGGACTAAGATTTATAACAGCACGTGCATCATCGTAGAAAGCACAAATGCCAAGGTGCTATGGATTCGGATATGGATTTACGACTGACCTCGGCTATTGGCGATATCTGGCTCGTGTTATTTTCCACTTGATTTCCGTGCTCATCAGTTTGCCAGTATTATTTTCGTTATTTATCCTACCCGTTTTCACTGACACAAATTAAACTCACTCCCTCCGCAAAAAAACAAAAGAAAACAATGCATTCTTAATTTATTGTTTCTTTGTGGCGCCCTTTATTGGCGGAACTATTGCACACGGAAAGAGATGGCACAAAATCTGCGGCTGCGCAGCGCATTGCACGATCTCCAACTCTGCTATAGCCTGCCGACCCGCTCCGCTTGTGTACTTCCGTTTACGTTCTCGTGGTTATGTTCGCCCGCGTAAAAAGATTTTCCACAAAGTCGGTGCAGCTGCGCAACACAATCTTCGACTTTGTATTGTGGCTCGCCGATTTGCCACCGCTGTGTACTTTCGTTTACGTTCACGTGGTTGCGTTTATCCGCGACGCAATCTCCGACTGTACTGTGGCTTGCCGACCCGCCTTTACTTGTGTACTTCCATTTACATGCTGTAACTTCGCTCCTGAAATGGTGTTTTACTGACTGATCTTTTATTTCATCTGTTTTTTTTATTAGTCACATATGGGCCATTTTTAATCCAATTCGTAATTGTTTATTGAAAAAAAAAATTCCAGTTGGGTTTTGATTGAGCATTCCTGTTTAATTCATATTGAATAGAAACTACTTGTTTTCAAAAATGTCCTTAATGGAAACTGCTGTTCGTATTCAAAAATAATCGATTCGCTTCGAAAGATTTTGATATATTTGCACACCTCTAGTTTAGACACAACCACCAAAGATAATCAAGGTCGTGGGTCATCGAAGGCACACACTCAATATTAAAAATAGAAACAAAATATGGTACCTATTTCTTGTGGCTTCTAAAAAGCTGTAAATGCGTCGACTGAAAAAAGTGGAAGCCGTTTACAACTCCCTGTAACACCGAATTAGAGCGCAGCTCTTGAGGAGGAGGGGGGAAGGGTACTGGGGGGTGAAGTGACCTGGGGGGGGGGGTCACGTGACCTTGGGAAGTCATCAGTGACGATGACGATGCGGACTCCGATGACGTCATCTGTGATGATGACGATGACGATGCGGATGCCCCCCCGAAGTCACGTGACACCCCCAGGTCACGTGACCCCCGCCGAGGTCACGTGACCTCCCCGATGACGTCATCGTCACTGATGACGTCACCGGCATCCGCATCGTCATCGTCATCATCACAGATGACGTCATCAGTGACGTCACTGATGACCTCACCGGCATCCGCATCGTCATCGTCATCATCACTGATGACGTCATCAGTGACGTCACTGATGACGTCACCGGCATCCACATCGTCATCATCACTAATGACGTCATCAGTGACGTCACCGGCATCCGCATCGTCATCGTCATCATCACTGGTGACGTCACTGATCACGTCATCAGTGATGATGACGATGACGATGCGGATGCCGGTGACGTCATCGATGACGTCATCGGGGAGGTCACGTGACCTCGGGGGGGGGGGGGGGGGGGGGTCACGTGACCCTGGGGGTGGTCACGTGACCTGGGGGTGTCACGTGACCGGAAGGGGGGGTCACGTGACCTCGGGGGGGGGGGGGGGGGGGGTCACGTGACCTTGGGGTGACCTTGGGATGACCTTGGGGGCCACGTGACCTTGGGATGACCTTGGTTACGCCGACGCCAACGCCGACGCCGACGGCGACGCCGCTCAAGCCGGGAACGGGCCCCTAAGAGCTGCGCTCTAAAAAGAAAGTTGCACAGCCACGTGACTCCCAGCAACACTCTCCTCTTCTATATTTCTTCTTACTCCCCAGTCTAGTTTTAGTTTCGGTTTCGAGCAGTTGCGTTTTTTTTTATTTTCTTGAAAATATATGTGACGCTGTAGCAAAATACTGATTGGATAGCCTTTTTGATACCATAGTAAATTGCCTAACAAAAGAATAAAAAAATAAATTTTTGGGGGGTGTCAGTGTCCCTTTAATGTAATTTGTATGAAATATTATTTCAAGGCAGAGTCAAACATGCAAAACGAATTCACTTCCATACTTGAGGACTTCTGTGGCTACGCAAGGTACGGCAGTACGTGCCTGAGAGCTCGGAAATGCCACAAACACGTCTGCTTTTCAGCGCCGAGAAAGTCAAACTGAACTCGGGTGCACCAAGACGGCTCCCACCTTGGAGAGCTCCTTCTCCACCACCCGGAAGCGCTTGGACTTCTCCAGCTTCTCCTTGGGAATGGACTGCTCCAGCCGGGACTTCTGGGAGGCCACGTAGTCCAGCTTGGCCTTGGCCTGCTGCTCCAGGGCGCGGTAGGCGTGGTACGTCTTCATCGTCTGCCACAAACATTGCACAGACAGCGCCTATCGTCACGATGCAGGGGAAAACAAAGCTACGCTCGGTGTCAACTTTATTTTCTCTTGTCTAGACTAGGGTCCCTGGAACGTGTCCGACTGGTGTGTTTACCGCAACCCAAGTAGTCTCCCGATTTCCGCCTGATGATGTCACAGAAATGTTGTGCTATTGCCGGCCGCTGCAGCCCGACAGTGCAGCGAGAGTGGCGGCTTCGTTTGGCATCTGGCGTGCACTCTCGCACAAAAGACTAATCCAGACGAAGCACTACTTCAGCGCTCATTTTGAAATCTTCTAGCTTTTATTCTTGTACATGTTACAGTTCCGTTTCGCTCGAAAAGACATGAACGACGCTACAACCGACGGGAACCGTTTTGCCGTAATGTGCCGCAACTATGATTTGTGTCTGGAAAGTCACTGTAAACAAAGTGAGAGTGTGCCAATTTCATTTTTTAGATCATCTGGTTATCTTTTTGCAGAAATTATTTCGCTTCCAGCGTTGCGACTTTGAAATGGCCTACATAATAAACCAATTGCCGATTTCAAATTGCTTTACTGCTTACATGCAATGCACCCTCCCCCTCACTGAGAAGGAAAAAAATGATAAAACACCAGATGTGGGGCAACCAGAAAGAATGGCGATTACCTAGCACCTTGATAGGCAAAAACCAAAGGAAATTGCAGGATTCTGCTACACATCGCACCCACCTCATAACCGACTCTGCATTATTCTCGTTCAGAATTTGGGAAGCATTCTGAAACTCCCAAACATTTCAAGCTGCAATCAAATTAAAAAGCATTTTTTTTTTTTTTTTTTTTTTTCTGAACAAAAAGTGCGCAAATGAGCTGGTGTAAATTCAACATAATGGATCATTCTAGAAAATCGCCGGTTCAGGAGGTTCCGGTATCAAAATATAGGTGAACATGTGCTCAAGCCTTGACAACGGAGGCAAGATCCAGCTGGCTCCATTGAGCTGCAAGAATCCAGATTCAATTCCCCTAGTCTCTTTTGTCCCTATTGCAGTTTGTCTTTTCACCCCCTGGTTAATTTATTCGGTCCTTCCCTCGCCTTCTTAAGCTGCGCAGGTTTCGCGGCTAAGCCGCCCGGGTGGCGCCAGTTATTTCTAAAATGGTGGATTACGAAAAACCCAGAAACTATAGGGTACTTTCGGAGTGATTCAAAACAGCTCATTTCTTTGCCGGTGTTACGCTGCATATTTAAAAAAAAAAAAAAAAAATAGGAGAATGTTACCTAGGGTCTGTAAGAATGCCCACCCGAAAAGGAGATAAATGATGAAACACGTGGGGTGGGCTATCTTTGGGGATGCGACAGCAAAACTTGATTGAATACGAGTGGTAAATACCGAAGGTGGGCAACCGCTAAAAACCTTGTGACAGAGGAACTGATACCGCATGTCACGGACACTGCAAATTCGCATTTCACGAAGCGATAAACGCAGGCAAATTCGCTAGAATCTCCCGTTACACGGCGCAAACGACATGTGAGGACTCGCCACAAACTCGCGTGTCATGGGAGCCATACCGCAGATTGCGGACGCAACAGATTCGCATTTTACGATGCAATAAACACGCGGAAACAACTCGCGTGTCACTGGTAATGATATTACGTGTGCAGACTGCAGACAAGAACGAGGGGGCCTGCTACGAACTCACTTGTCGCACGTACCGGCATCGCAGACCGCGTGGTTGACGCGATTCCGTCAGTCAACGCACAATGTCTGCCAGGAATCGAAGGGGTGTTCAATGTTTCGTGATTTTGATGTAATGTATATTTAGCTAGGAAAACAGGATGGGTGATCTCTTCGGGGAGAGCATTCAGACAGGATTTTACGGTAATAAGACGGACTCAAAGGAAAAAGCTAGAAAAAGCCAGTTTCTGAACTTACGGTGTGCAGTTCATGCAGCACCTTGAGCAATTCCTCGTGCTGTTGAGCCCCAATGCCACGGCACTGCAGACAAAGAGTGCAGACACACGGAAACATCACTGCACTGTCCTCTCGTGTCCCAGCCAAAAAGACGGTCACATGTTTAAAGTTTGTTTATTTAATATATCAGTTCCAATCAAGGACAGTCAAACTTTAAAAAGCAAGGAATTTGAAAAAAAACAAAAAAAAAAAACACCTAACACAGTGGCAAATTAAGCACAATGCAGAAACACCAGAACATAAAATAGCACATACAATAGAATGTACAATAGTTAAGCAGCATCCAAAGCACAAAAAAAACTTACTGAAATTTACAGTTCCCATATCCCAAAATGTTTAGTAAGTCGAACAAACCAGCATTTGTTAGATTTATTAACATTTACAATTGGTGAACCTTCCAATCAAAAACCAAAATCTACACACACAAAGCAAGCTTTCTCTCATTGTAATACTCATGTACAGGTAGCCTTAAAAGTACCATAAAATGAAGCTGGAATTAAGAAACCAGATCCGTTCCGGACGATGTTGCGCCACGTCAATGGCATTGCAACTTTCTGGTGGCTCTTCCAATGTCACAAGTGACAAGGTAATGGCAGTAAGGCCTCTCTCATTTCTGCTCAATCAAAGTTTCCGAAGCCTCGTTGTAATACACCGCCTAGGGCAGAACACTAACAAATTGGGGTCTAATCATCCTTTTGTCAGTAGCTTTCACAGTGAAACTGGACGTGTCGCGTATACTGCACGACGCAGCTACACAAACAAGACGTCTCTGGTTCGTTTCATTTCGCTCGAACGGGACACTGACGGCGTAAGTTAGTGCTCCGAACGAGCAGTTTTCAACGCGCTCGTAGTTTTAATAGCCTCTCAGTTCTGGAAGAAAGAAAATGATAAAAATCAACGAGAAAAGTCGGGAGACGGAGAATGCACAGCGTGACTCGAGCTGTGCTTTTGCCAAGCCGAGCTTTTCCGAGCTCGGGAGCCACGCTAAATTTGCTGTCGCACTGAGTCGTCACACGACGCCCAATCACGTGATACCACGACGTCGTGTGAAAGCAGTCTCCTGTCCTCTGCTATATAGACGATGCGGACAAATTCCCGCAGCTCATTGTTGGCTAAAGTCCGAAAATCATTGAACCGCTTCTTTCAAAACGGGTGCAACCAATTGGAGGCCATCTCGCAGAGGATGTGTGATGGCTTGTGATGACCGTCACCCGTGACGCGCGATCGCTTGTGACACGTGATGGCCCGTGACGCGTGATGGCCCACCTTGCGGTAGATGCGCTGGACGTCCTCGAGCAGGTGGGCAAGCTGGGCCACCAGGGTGGTGGTGTACACCTCCCCGAGGGCGGCGTGGTCCCGACTCTGGCGACGAGTGCTCGCCACCAGCTGCTGCCAGCAGCCGTATGACGAGAACAGGTGCCACTGCTCGCGCCTGCAATGTGCACAAAGACCACACTTTAACGAGAATAATAATAACAATATTTTTTTCATTAGATTGCCCCAATACAACTACAGTGGTCTTTAGATCGGTGCACCTCCGCAAGAACAACGTAAGTAAGAAACGAAAATATACATGATCCCACTCAAGACACGCCAATACAAAAATAATATGGAGCACTGAAATGATGATTAGTTAGTAAAGAGTTGAATTACTCAACAGGTGGCAGAACAGAGATGTCGAGATATGGAGCAACAACACTGTTATTAAGTGACTGGATATGAAAAAGGGGTGGAAATGTGCTGTGGCGAATGAATATAAAAAGGAGTAAATGACAGGTTGACTGAAAACTGACACGAAAATTAACTTTACGGAGGAGCTAAGCAGAGTCATAGCACTTATTTGCAAGTTTATGTAGAAAGACAAAGTCATGAACCTGCCTTCTCTGGGACAAGTGTGAGAGAGAATATTTTTCTAGTAGATATTGATATCCAGACATTAAGTCATAGATAAGCTGCTACATGAAACGAGTTATTCATAAAGGGTGTTGCCAGTGGAGGTAAGTGCATTTTTTAAGCTTTTCTTCTTTTCTATAGGTAGTCTGCTGCAAATCAAGAAGGTAGGGTGAGGGAAAGGAAGGCAGGGGAGGGGGAAGCAGATGGAATGCTAGAAAGAGTGAGAGGTTTCCCACTTTCTTAGCCAGCATTCTGTCTGCTTTCCCCCTCCCCGACCTTCCTTTCCCTCGCCCTACCTTCTTGAGTTGCAACGGACTATAGTAGGGTCCAAAACTTTTATAAAAAAGGGAACTTGCACTAGGGATTTTTTAGCTGTGGGCTAAGTTAGGGTTCACGGGGGCCACTAGGAAAGAAGCAAAATTTGTTAATTAGTTAGCTAATTATTTAAGTAAAACGTTTTGACCAACTTTTTTAATTTTCTGTTTTTGAGACTAATGTAGTTGGCAAATTGACGCCCAACCTCCTAATAGCCTAACTGCGACGTGAAACTTTTACTAAGAAAGTCGTAGCAGCCGTTACGAGACAAGAAACGTCATCGTTGTAGACAGCTTTAAAGGGGCACTGACACCCCAAAGGTCGTATTTATTTTTATTGCCTAAAACGATGCAAGTTGCAGTCATAGACACGCAAAAAAAAACGCATCGCGAAAAAAAATTTTCTTGCGCGCGCGCGCGCCTTTTTATTTTTGGCGTTTGATCTTCCCGCCTCTCGCCTCCTCGCTTCTTTTGATCGGTGACGTCAAAAATCAGAAAATTTAGAAGCTTTGTAGGCGACATCTCTATAACATTTAATTACGGCAATCCTAAAACATGTTTTTTAACGCAATTGCGAACGCACTACGGCCCTTCTTTTTGAAATACCAAAAATCGGGAGTTCGTTGTGGTGCCGTCTCCTGGATTTGTATCCTCCAACGGAAAACAGGCGACACCGCTCAAAACCGGTCCGCCGCAACGCCGCCGCTCACTCCTTTCCTCCTCGCTTTGGGTCGCCATGGCAACAGCAGGGAGTGGTGAAAGAAAGTCGACTCTCAGGTCTCCGCAATTTTTGACGTCAAGGCACCGGCGCCGATCGCGCGGGAACTTCGAATTTGGCATTTGGAAATTGTTTTTTTACTTCACAAATACTGAGTTCCCAAGTTTCAAATTTTGAGGGTAATGTCCCGGCATCGTTTTCAATCGTTTCGGATAATAAAAAAAAATATGATTTTGATGTGTCAGTGCCCCTTTAAGCCGAAAAGAAGCACACAAAATGCACCTGTAACGTGGACCCCTCCGCATTGCAACTTTGTGGCAATGGCCATGTTACCCGCGATGTGGCCACGCGGGTTGCCGAGCATGCACAGAGCAGAGGGATCGACATTACAGGTGGTCTTTATACACTTATTTTCAGTTTAAAGTAGTATACAGGGATAACATGTCTCGTTCCGTAGCGCCAGTGTGTACAACCTCCGCAATTGTTTCTTCCCCAATTTTTATCAAAAATTTCCCTAGATCTTTAGGAAAAAAAAGTGTTAATTTGCTTCAATATTGAGATTATTGTTATGGAATAGCTTAAGAATAGATACCTGTAGTTGGGTGGCCGTTTAAAGGTTAAATTTGCTTCGTTAAAACCTTTTTACATAATTAAAGTTTGTTACTTCGGCCTTGTGTGGCCCCCGAAAATCGTTGTTACCACTGGAGAAACAAAGAAGCCTTTTCCCCTGTTTTTCCCACTGCATTCAGCAGGTACGAGGAGAAAAAAGGTAAGGAATGTGTCTCTAAAGCCCTCTGAAACCCATTAAAAACAATCCCTAGATTTGAACAAATTTCCCTGTGCCCCTAAACGATGATGGAAATCCCTAGAACTAGGGGGGGAAATCCCTAAGTTTGGCAGCACTGCGTAGCGCAAATTACGAATTTTGTAATCAATATTTCACGTCACAGCTAGAGACCACAAGAAGATTGAGCGTTAAGTCTCCAACTACACTATATGCCAAAAACTGAAAATTCAAGATGTTAAGTCGAGGCTTTTTATGGTCGATGACAGGTTAAGAGTCCAAGTGGAGGCTCCTCCCACATCTTTCCACTAACTCCTCAACAAATTTTGCTTCTTTTCTAGTGGCATCAAAAACTTGCCACCAGGGCCTCAAATACCTAATAATCTTTCTTTTTTTTGTAAATATAGATAATTTAAAAACAAACAGCCTGTATAACGAATTTCTTCATTGTGTTCGCAGCTTTTTGTTCTGCTCATTATTGTATTTTTTTGCTCTCCAATCAGAAAGATGTGCCATTTTTCGTTCATTATATTGTATTCCATTGTTTTGGAATTGTCTGCTGTAGGGATGCCTGGACGTCTTTCATTGCCGTTGCAACTTTGAGTCCTTGTCCCCCATTTAAAAATATTATACAAAATAAAGATGATGTTCCTAAGTCTCACGCTAATAAATAGGGCAATCGAGCTTAAATGTGCACCACAACCTAAAGACAACTTTAATTTACCCTCAAGCAAGGGTGAACCTTATTAACGTAGCCTCACCCTGACGTACAAGAATAGATTGCTGAAAGCTTGCTAATCGAGCAGTACCATCTAATAGTTTGGTCTTTTTTATGTTTATTAATGATATACTCTTCAATTTAACTGCTAAGGCTAGGCTCTTTGCCAATGACTGCATTTTGTATACAGAGGTTAATGAGCCGACCAATCAAATTAATCTTAACACGTGTTTAGCACGGACTGGTCAGTGGTGGAACACATGGCAAATGTCACTAAACTTAGATAAAACTGTCTGTATGACTATTACTCACAAAACAAAGCCGCTTCAATTTGAGTACGCTATTGAAAAGTATCCACTAGCAAGAATAAGCAGTTACAAATATCTGGGCGTAATTATTTCTCATGATCTCCGTTGGAGTGCTAATGTTGATCGCAATGTAAAAAAAGTGAATTATAAACTGTGGTATTTAAGGTGGTCTTTGAATCAAAGTAGAGGAGATAGTTGGGCTAGTTGGTTTTGGAACTTGGAATACATTTTAGCACCCAAGACACAAGGACACAAAGACAAGAATTAGACACCACAGAAAACGTTTGGCTTATGAAACACTAATTCGCCCGTTGATAGAATACGGATGCGAAATCTGGGATCCTCATATTTTTAGAGATGTGCTAAAACTAGAAAAGGTGCAACGCTTTGCTTTGCGCTTTATTTTTTCCAAATATCGTCGACAGGATTGACCAATGGCACTGTATTCAAAAGCAAACATTTCGCTACTTAAGATGAGGAGTAAAGAAAAAAGATGAAATTTCTATATATATATATGATTATCAATGACTTATTGCAGATAGACAAAACAGCTTACCTAGTTCCTGACGAGTCAAGAATTACTCGGAACAAATATAGCCGCGCACTTCATCAGCCCCGGTTCTTCAAGGATTGTTTCAGATACTCATTCTTTTCACAACCATAAGTGACTGGAACCTTCTTTCGGAGCAAGCTGTGGTATACCAATCACTTGAGGCTTTTTCTTCTTATACTGCACCTTGCAAAATGTGAAATAAAATTTTTTTTGTGTGTGTGTGTATTGTTTTCTGTCAACGCATTCTCAGGGATCGTACAGAATTTTTTAATCAAAAGTGAAGGACTTTTCAAGCATTTTAAGGGCATCAGAAGACAAAATTCAAGGAAGGTTCAAAAAAATTTATTTATTAACAGGAGTTGAGAAATAAGCTCCTTTTTGGCAAGAACTTCTCGTTCTACAGCAGCTATAGCTGCTTCCTTTTCTTTTGCTGTTTGGCAAAAACTGTTGGCCTTGCCTTCGCTGCAGCTTCTCTCAATTTCGCTATTGGGAAACAATCTCTAAAAAACGCTGGCAACGTCCCGACAGGAATTGTAGGAGTAGTGAGACAACACAGCCTTCATTGTTTACAGAATCTTGGCTTCAACAACCATTTCGTCCTTCTGACAATCCGTGTCAAGGGTCGCAGCCCGTGAGGTACTTGCATCTGCACGCTGGTGCCTGGGCGTATCCGGCGCCAAGTCCAACACTGGTAGATAAGAGGTGATAGACGAGCTGAAAGCAGCTGACTTGGCTCCAGATTGATGCTTTCCGCTTTTCAAATGACTCTTCAAAGCGCGTTCACCCATTGTGGCGGCATCAATCCACTCTCGACGGATCGCACTTCGCTTGGAAGGAGTCATTCCTATCTGGTCTCACCCACTGGCAATAAGTAGTCTTTGTGTTCCAGCCAAGAAAACTCAAAATTAAACTTTCCATCCGGAATTTCGGCTTTCAATCTCGATTGAAAGTGTCGATCCTCAACACACTCGACACAAAGCAAAAATGGCGATGACACAAGACGCCTTGCATTGGATTGGCTTTATCCTTAGAGGTGTCGTGAAATTTTTTCTAACGGGATTTAGCGATTGAACTTTCGGGGCTCGACTGGTTCGAACCCGTTCGACGCAGCTTCAAACTTTTAACCAGATTCGACAGGTTCGACTTTGTGGACAGTGCTGCCAGACCTTGATACAAGCATGTATAGGTTTGGAGAATCTTTTTCTATGCAAAGGGTTATTTTATTTTATGAACAGTTGCAATTAAAACGAACTAATTCTATTCACTAAAGAAGTTAATAACTTAATTTTTTTTACTGTATCAACTGAAATAGCCCCAATCAGTGCTGCCCTCAATTCATCTCTTAGCCATCACCATCCAGTCTGAAGCCAACTGGTTAGCCTGTCGCGCATGCGCATATCAATCGAACCTGAGTCGAACCTTTGTCGAACTTTTCAAAAGAAGTTTGAAAATGTTTAACCTGTTTCAACTTGAACCTCGACCGGTTCGCGGCATCCCTATTTACTCTTTAGAACAAACGACATGCCATGCTGCCAGATGACGCAGCCCTATTTACGCTTTATTGGAGGATTTTCAAGGAATACAAGGATCATTTTAACTTTCAAGGATATTTAAGGGCCCTTAAAAGGCTTTTAACAAAATCCAGGGCATTCAAGGATTTCAAAAAGCTGCACGCACCCTGCATTCAAGCCCATAAGGGTCTTATTTTTTTTTTTTTTTTTTTTTGTCAAAGCATTTTTGTGTGATTATTTAGTGATATCTTTTACAGTACCTCTTCAAGTGTGTGCTGCTCTTGTTGTAGTTGTTTTCCTTGCACACTGGTATACCCACCCTATCATAGCCTCAACAAAGACTGATAGTACTTTGAAAGAAAATAATCAAAATTTCTTCAAATATTGTTTAGTTCCGTTGAGTGCACTTCCCAGGTAGCACAGGTACACTACGGCGAAGCCGCTTCGCCAGACGCCGGTGCAACTTTCTTGCAGTGTGGCAGAGTTCAAACGGAAAGCCCTCCTTCAACCCAATTTGCACGTGCACTTTAAAAAAAAAAAAAAAGCATTTGAGGTGTTTGAACAAAGACTAAACACAATGAAGGGTACATGATGGGGAAGAAAGGTATATAAAAATTGATATATGAAGAGTTCGAACACAAAATGGGCAAATGGAACCCGAAAGCTGAAATTTAAATACCAAATGCTGGCACAGAGCAAAGCAGACTACCTCTGTGGAAAAGGAAGTAAGGGAGGCCAAGAGGACACTGTGGGAGGAAGGAAAGCAGGGGAAATCGGCTTTAACCATGTGTAGCGGACGAAAACAGGAAATAAGAAAAAAAACATCTTGTAAACCCTGAGATGGGGAACAATAAAAAAATGGACGAACAACACAAAATCTCAAAGAGATTTTGTTGTGTTTGTTCGTTTTTTTATTGTTCCCCATCTCAGGGTTTACAAGATGTTGATTAATTACCGGCTCGCCTGCACTCTCTCACTGCTTAAAAAGAAAAGAACATCAGTATAATAATTTAAGAGGGAGTTTGTTGTTGTTTGAGGCTAGAACGGCAAAAGAAAATTGTTGTGTGCATGTTTATACCGCCAGAAGTTGGTCTGCCTCCATGGGCATCTGGTGCTTCAGCTGTAGACGAACAATTTAGCCAGTGTGGTACAACCGCCAGCCTGGGGTCTTTAACGTGCACCACACAGTAGTGATACATGACCGAGGCTAGAACGGGAGTATTCAGAACTAGAACATATAAGGTAAAGTATGAAAAATGAATGGATAATAAAGCATGAAGAAATGGATGCGCGGTGCCATAAGCCAAGGGGAAGACAAGAAAATGGAACACGTGGTGTTGAACCTAAACTAATAAAATTTTAGTACAATAAATGCACCATCATAAAGACACCTTTGTGAAAAGTTTAATTGCACTCAGTTCGTTGGTGTATTTATGCGAAATTTTCTTACACCCGAACTAGCACTTGGAAACACCCGGTTAACTAAACGGCGAAGCTAGGAGTACTGACTTCCTTTTCCTTTCGCCGCCAAATCCTCATTGGCGGAAAAGGGGTCATACGCACAAAATTATCCAACGTGTTCTCTTCCCCGCCGACACACCAGCACGCCAATGTTGAGCAGGCTCGCATGCAGTCGCAGCCCCTGCAAGAGCGACGGTCGCTTCCCGTAATACTTGGACCAGAACAGGAGAGGCCACTGCGATATTCTGCTTTGCAGGGGAGCATACCTTCAGCGCTTGCACATACCCTCTCTACTCGCCCTGCTTCCCGCTGTCGCCATTTCGCGAGGGCACCATTCCACACAACTAACATTGGTCAGAACCTATCTTTGAGCATAATTCACCTTTTTCTTATGATTCTTTTTTGAGTATTGGTAGTAGTATGGGGGCAAAGAATGCAATGAACAAAGATACAACGGCGCGATGCCAATGTGTTCCGACAGGCAGAGGCACGTTGGACTGCCCTCCCTTCGCAGTTAGCAGACAAACCCTCGCATTCCTTACTCGGGAAGTCAACGCACCTGGGCTTCTCTGCCTTGTGGCGGAGCATGAGGGTGCGCGCCATCTTGTCCAGGGCCCTGGAGTAGTCCAGTTCGACCTCCGCCCTGCGGCGGAAGTAGTCCTGCATCTCCCCGACCAGGGCCACCTGCGTCTCCAGCCGCACGTCCAGGCATTTCAGCTGGTCCCCGAGCTGCTGACGGATGTCTACAAGGGAACAAAGAGACGCGCTCAAGAGACCCGCGCACAACTTGGCAAACGGCCAAGGATACGGCCTTAGTGAGCCAATCAGCTCGCCTGAGGGAAACTCGTGACTACATCTACTACCTCGGTAGTTGCGTGCAGTCAGCGCTGACGGATCCACGAGCGAGAGGGGAAAGCCGCTTTGGTATTAATTTTGAGGAGGACAAAGGGGATTCCTGGGACACACAAAAGAGGATATGGCGGAGGGGAGAGTTCCTCCTTTCCGTCTTCTTCGACTGCTTGGGTTACGCCCTCGCCAGTGCACCTTTAGTAACGGCTGTCACGTGCTTCGCCCTCCAGGGCTCTGATTCGCTCAAAGGGGGGGGCCTAGTGTTCGCTCTTTGCTAAGTTATAGACCGACGAGCAGTTCGCGCTTTCCACTTTTCGCCCGCTTCCTCCTCTCCCTCCTACCCTTTCCACCCACGCCCGCCCCTCTTGGTCCCTTCTTTCCATCCTTCGCTTCCCTCGCCCGAAGGCGTGGGGAGGAGGGTCTTCTGCCTTGCAGAATCTCGAGTCTGGTCGTCGGCCTTTAAGGTGAAACAAAGTATACTTGCGGTATGAGTGAAATAAGTGGAAACAAATATTAGGGATGTGTGAATAGTGATTCAAATAGTGGTTTCAAAAGCAGTTCAAATAGCGGTTCAAATAGTGGTTTGATTCTAATAGTGCTGCATCATATGTACCTTTCACGGTGCAAGGCTTTCACGGTGCAAAAGGTTTTCTTAAGAGCGCTAAGTTAGGGATGACACTGCATTGTTCGATTTGAATCACTATTCCTACACCCCACAAAAAAGGACAAATACCAAATAAATAGAAGAGGGAACGCAGAAGAAGAGCTGGCCTCCTCTTTGGCGTTTGCTCCGCTAAAGTGGAAAGGGGTGGGAAGATCTTCTCTCAAACTCTTCACCTGTAACCGACTATAGAGAAGAGAGACATGCACTTGAAAAAAAAAGGAGGATATCAGATATAATATACAGTCCAAACCATGTGTAACTGGAGCAAATGTAAAGCCTAAGATTGGCATATTTTTGTCCTTTTCTGTGTGCTTGTGCATGCTTTCACGCTAGCGTCGAGTTAATTTTTTTATGTCTTGATCCAAGTTTAAAGGCTGGAATGGCCCGTCAAAGTATGGCCACGATTAAAGCATTACTTTTAAAGACACAAAAGAATAAAACATATAGGGACAAACACAGACAGTACAGTTCTAAAGGAACCGTATACTATCTCTCTTTGTCCCTATATGTTTTATTTTTTGTGTTTTTCAAATCATCTCTACCAACCCGCTCTAAGTTCATAATTGTATAAAGCATCACATCTATGCTATGCCTTTGGGCCTCATAAATTTCCAAAATAATATTATGTTGTTGTTGTTGTTTTGTTTTTTTTTCCTGCATCAAAATTAACTTTTGTGCTGCAGTTACGTAAGATTGTGAGAGTCCGCTCAAGTAAACCGCACATAGTTCTTCTCCAGCACAATCTGGTACCACCCCAACAGCCCAAGACGTTGATGTCATGAAAACTGCGTCGCCTCCCCCCACCATCCATCTCCCGAAAACTTCCAACGCCTCTGCACCAGACGGCTGACAACACTACCCGCTATCATATACATACAATTATTTCACATCATCCCCTCTACTCACTCTGGTAGAAAGGCGGTCTGCGCAGCGTGCCCGACCGCCTCAATTTGGCGCTGGCCCGTCGCCGCAGACTCTGCGATCGAGCCCCGGGAGACCGCTCCATCCCCGCAGGCGTCCGGAACACTGACCGCGAATGTCGGCGATCGCGCGCAGGTAACCCGAAGCCACGCATGCGTTGCGGTGTGACAAAGCGACCCCATCAGAAACACTTGTGGCGTCCTTGAGCTAACGCGCGAGCACAGAACTAAATCCGGCCGCAGACTCCTATCGATTGAGCCGCCCACTTCCGCGCGGCGGAGCCACCGGCGCGAAGGCAGTCACACGGTCAAAACCGCGGGACTTTGCCGGGTGGTTTAGCACGAAGTTAGGTTTGGTCAGAGCCAACTAGTGACGTGCGCGGACGACTACGGCCACGTGAGTAGCCGCAATCCAATAATTCGTGCACAACCTCCAAATACTTTTTTTCAAATACTTTTTTTCAAATACTTTTTTTTTTGTTGCTGTCGTTTGCTACAGAGAGCGCATGCAGTATGCTAAGAAATTCGTCTCCGGCACATTCGTACATTCACTGGAATGTTGGCGTGGTCAGTGCCAATTGTGACAGTGTTTTAAATATCACTAGGAGATCCGAGTTACTCCCGCGGGTCATATCACGCGATAACTCAGATAGTGCAACGCTGGGTATGTATGTTTACGAACGACGAAGTACAAAACATTTACTCTGGAGTGAGATCGAATAAATTATGGAACACGGCCGGTGATGTACTGACGACTCAGTCAAATGAGCACCCCCGATCCTAAAACTCGTGCACCGTAGCAAACAAACAAAAAACGTTTTGTCGTATGTCGTCTGCTACCGAATGCGCTGGACTCGCAGACGGCTTTTTGGCAAACGGCGCGTCTGCTACCGTCTGCGAGTTGAGAGCATTCGCACCTCTACTCGAATTTTGGTTTGGTCAGTGCGAACTGGAAGTCTGTGACGTAGAAGCGACTACGGTTACGTGTGTGAGCCCGAAGTCGATTATTCGTGCACAGTTCCCAAAACAAATAGTAATTTTACGATAGAGAGCGCTCCGTGTCTGCTCAAACTAGAGTTCCTGTATATGCTACCTACGGTAGCAGAGTTGCGCATTCAGCCTCGGCGCGTGGCCGTAGAGCCGGCTTTCCCGCACGAGATGGATGCTTTGCTCCTCACGTGACCAAATTTGGCGAATAGCGGCGCCGCGCGCGCCGCCGCGCATGGAAAACAGGAGAGGAGGAAAAGGAGGCGGAAAGCAGGGAAACATACGCCGGGGCAAGAGAAACGTCGGCGGAGCGACCGTAAAGGTGGCTTTCTTGCACGCCAAGGGATGCTTTGCTCCTCACGTGATGGATCTCGGCGAATAGCGGCGTGGCGGCGCGGGGAAAACAAATGCGCAACTCTGGCTCCCGTAGGGAGCCTATACAGGAACTCTAGCTCAAACGCAATCTGCGAATTCAGCGCTTTCGCATGTTCACTCGAATCTTGGTTTGACCAGTGCCAATTGTGACGTATGAACGACTACGGTCACGTGAGCAATCCCAACCCGATCATTCGTACGCAGTTCCAAACAAAAGAACAATTTTCTCGAATATTATTGTCTACTAGCGAGAGGGCGCGCACCGTCGTCTGCTAAAAACCCGTCTGCGAGTCGAGCGCTTTCGTATGTATACGCTTGACAATTGGAACCCGATTCGCGTTGCGTCGTTCTTGACTTGCCCCCTAACGAGTTTCCAACGGCTTCGGGCAAGCAAATACAGGCAAAGCAAGAAACGAAAAGCGCGCAAAGATATAAAATGCGTCGCGGAAGAAAAGCTCTCTCCGAGCCGAAAAGATCACCAGATGTGGGGCACGGCAACAACACACGCTGTTGTGCGGGTGCGCGCGGGGCCCCCTCCTCCCGCCTCGAACTTTCAACAAAAAGAAAACAAAAAAACTATAACCAAAAATTAAAAAAAAAAAAAAAAAAATCTTGAAGCGGCAAGCTGTAAAGAGAGCGCCAGCGAGAGTAAGCACCAAGCACTCTCGCTGACAAACCTCGAGTAAATATACAAACAAATAAAATGAAGGATGCGACGAAAGAAGAGTAGCGCGATGCGGGAGGGAAGAGGAAAAAGTTGCGAAAAAAGACGCGTTTTGAAAACGAAATCTCCCGTCGTCGGTGCACGGGGTGAGTGGCGTCCGCGAATATATATCCCCCTCATCGAAAGCGACGCGCGCGCCAACAAAAAAGAAAGCGGTGAAAGAGAGAAACCGTGCCAAACGAAAACGAAACTAAAATAAAAGAAAGCAGACGACGCAAAGGAGGGGGTGCACAACCCATAAAAATAACGGCATCTTCCCCCCTCTCGCGTCGGTGCCAGACCCGTGGGAAACGACACCAATTCCAGCGGCCAAAACGCGCACAGGCAAACGCAGCAGCAGTGAGGCGCCAACTCAACTTAGCGAAAGAGCGGCCCAAACGAAGGGCATGGGGGAAGACCGACGGAACCTAAATTCATACATAAAAAAATAGTTTCGGAGGACATAAACAAGGAGATGTCCCAAGAAGGAAATGTCGGTCCCCGCCCGTTGGTCGGTCCGTCAGCGTGACGCGGACAGGCGCACGTGGCCGAGTGAGAAAAAAAAAACGTCGGCAACATCGGAAATCCGTGGCAATGAACTCGGCCGAGAGCGGAGCTGTGCTGCTAGCCGCCGTGGAGGAAAGTCGCTACGCACTTCAACTCCAGAGACTACCGTTTTACTCGTCTTCCGTGTTGTGCCCGTTCAGACTGAATCAGGACAACACCGTGTGCGCTGTGCTCACGGTGACGACATCTGACCATTTTGTTAGTAATCACTGGCGGTCATAGATGTGTGCGCGAATGCTGCTGTTTGCGTGGTGGATGGCTTCACTGAAAACGGACGCGCGCGTCGAAACGTTATCGTTTCTATTGCTCTACTTTTTACAAACCTGCGCGGCTTCTTTTTTTTTCTTTTTTTTTTTTCTTACGCACAGTGGATCTTCAGCTGGATCAACAACAGGAGGATGACGAAGCTTGAGCGCGATGGCCAACATATGGCATCCTCAAAGCTAAAACTAGCCGATCGATGTGGTGACCGTACGTTCAACGAAGAAAGTTGGAGATGCGTAAACTTCGCCGAACTGATCAACTGAACGAGTTTGGCGAAAGGAAAGCTCGTTTCTCGCCCGTCGGCAAGCACGTACACTTCGCGACGCAGCGCAAACACGACGTCAGCGCTTTTCCGCGTCTTGCAGAAACACTCCAGCGTCGAAGAACGAATTTCACCGCTGGTGTTTCGTACGT